GCCCCGCTGGGATTTGAACTTGCAGCTGCCTGGAAGACCAGAGTTCAAAACTACTGTTTCAGCTGATGAAGAAGGCCTTCACCACTTTCTATTACTTGGCTTCTCAGCAGTATCTGCGAATCTAACTCAGGCTTGAGGGTTAGTGTGGAGGCCCTGATAGTGTTCCGCATGCTTGCACAGTGTACATTTTCTCTGTGATTTACTCATTGGTAACAATTGTCCTTTCTCAGTGGCATACAGTCCTCTGCAGCCTCCATACTGGACACTTAATTATTTTATTTTAGTTTGGGGGATAATGTATTGTTTGCATCCTTTGAATTTCCAAGGATTTTAATTTTGTGTGTATATGTGTTATTTCCAAAGGTGTTCACACTGCAAAACACAATTACTGTTCTTTTATAACTACATGTCATGTATAAATATGTGCGTGTATATCAACATGATGTGTATTGCATGCTTATCATTTACTACAGTGGTGGATTTCTTTCCTTGGAGCAATCCTTTGCATTTATTTGCCTCGTGTGATTTACAACATTGTGTTACATGCTACTCGTCCATTTTCTCATAGGAACCTTTGATACACTCTGATTTCCTCCCCCATCCCACAACAGTCTGTTGTATGTCCAGGAAATCCTTTCATGATAATGCTTAGGAATGTTTTTCTCACAGCTGAATGCTTGGTGCTGAGCCTTCTGACAGTATGTTGCATGCTTAAGAGGGCTGGTTTTCACAGTGATAGCTTTGTATATATGTTGCATCTCTTTTCCTCCTCTTACTCTTTTTCTCTGGGGTGCTATTCATTCAGCAGGGTCCAGTGTATGAGGAAACATGGGCAGGTATCCTCTTATTCCATTTTAATCCTGCTGTGTGTGTTGTTAAAATGTACTTTAGTATCAGGCCTTGAAATGTGTCCTCCTGCTTTCAGTAACTTGGTGGTGGCGAGGGTGAAACTGTGTTCTTTTGGGGTAGCTAGCTATCAATACTCAATCCATCTTGACCAGTTTGAAAGTATGACTTAGTTCTGTTGCTTGTTTCCAGGTGGCATCACAGTAGCCACAGGCAAGCACAAGAAGGAGGTGGAAATCTGTAACGTTACACCAGGCAGTTAAGCCCAGGGTGGCTGCCTCTTTATAGCCACCTTGAACTCTGTCATTGGAGCAAGGCAGAGCTGTGAGTTCTGCCACCACATACAGGCCTGTATTGCATAATCTCCAGTCCAGGCTTTCTGAAGTTAGTCGCTAAAATAAATTAGGGTTTCAGCAGGAGCCCAAAGTGTTTGTCCCTTGGATTGACATGACCCATGGCCTACCCTGGGGCGGCATGCTACCTGCCAATCACAGGGGCTGTTGTTGCACAGTTTCCTTCTGTGCTTGGAGGGCTTAGTGTACCTGCTCCCAAGTAGTGCAGGATGTCAGGGCCCAGGCTCAAGCCCCAGAGGTTCTAACACCCTAGGAAGAAGGACTGCACCACAGGTGTTGTGCTGCTGTTGGGGCATGTGATAAGCTTTTTGGTAAGCTTGAAGTGGGCTTCCAAGTTGCTCCTGGTCCTGGCTGCTCTAAATTGCAAGTGCTTGCTGAGATGTTGTCTATGGCCATGCCAAGGAGCATCCCCAGTGAGGGCTGTCCAATTCTTCCCCTGCAACAGGGTGGGGATAGGAGGAGAAGGGCTGTCGCTCAGTGGTAGAGCATGGACATGGCATTCGACTCAGTCCCCCAAGCATTCCCTAACTAAAAAGACTTCTGAAAGCACTGGCCTTTTAAATTAGGCCTCAGGCTGCAAGTGGCCTAGGGCCATGTGTTGCCCACTCCTGTTCTGGGATGTACTGTTCATTCATGTTGGACAATAGCTAGCCAAGCACCTAGGCCACCACCCTGCAGAAATGGAACATATGCCCCAGAGTCCTTACAGTATGCTGGGATTCTGGAACAAGTTCAGTGTTCCTGAAAGGCATTTAGATAAAAATTACTATGATAGAGCCAGAGGTATTTCTAAAGTTTGAGAGCTTTGGCTATTTTTGGCTTCTAACTACCAAGGTTTTAGCACAATACATTATTTTTGTATTGCTCAATTGCTTAATCCACTGGAATTGACAAAAAGGTACTTCTAATTAATTCAGTAGCTGATTAAAAATGCATCTATTTTGGTGGAAGTTTTTATAACAGGATAGGCTAGCAAGTGGCATATAAAAAGAGTCATTTCCCCCATTTCTGTGATGCAGACAGGAAGCAACAGATGCGAAAAAGAATGCCTCTTCTAAAATAAGGCCTGCTGCAGCATATTCATGATCAGCCAAGAACAAAGCATGTTTCTTGCTTGAAAAAATGAATTAGTTAATCAACTATAATTTATTTAATTGGGTTGCAGCTCTGTAGGAAATATAGTTGGAACAATCTGAACGTTTGGGCAGTCGTATTTTAAACAGGATGCAAACCTGTGTATTTTCATTATATTTTGGGGATTACACTAGAACAACCTTCCACATCCTGACGTTCGCCAGATAATGGTGGAAGATAACCTCCAGCTGGGTTATTTGGAAAAATGGAAACACAGGAATTTTACAGTGTGGTTAGGAGCAAATATTCTTACACATGCTGGGAGATTCTGGTAATTGTAGTTCCAGGCATTTAGAGTGCACCAGTTTGGGGAAGGCTGCCATAGAATATGTATCACCCCACTCTCTCTATGTTCTAGAACAGGCCTGCACAACCTGTGACCCACTGGCCTTATATGACAGCCCAGCAGGGGCTGAGTCAGCAACCTGCTTTTTTGCTGTTTACACACCAAAGGCTATCAGGCAGGGAATTGCCAAGCATCTCACAAAAGCCACAGACCATGGCTGGTAGACTTTGGTGGGTCACAAGTTATGCAGAAGTTTTGGACCTGAATGGACATGCATTTTATTAGATCGCGCATCGCTTTCTTCTTCAGCCATGTTGTGCATGCATGTGCATGTGTGTATGCTTCACTCAACTGCTTGGGTCTATCCAAGGCTTGGTTTATTGAAAGTCACAATCCTGGGTTGGAATAAGGGCTGCTGTTGTTCCTAAATGGGTGTGTATGTACATGAGAAAGAGTGTAAGCCACAGGTGAGGAATCTGTGACCCTCCAGGTGTTGTTAGACTCCAGTTCCCACGAGCCCAAGACAGCAATGGTGAGGAAGTCCATCAGCATCTGGATGCTCACCCATTGTCTGTCTCTGGTCTACACTCTGTATTTAGTAAGAACCCCCCTCCCCAAGGAATTCAACTAAAACATTGTAAGGTAACCAGTACAAAAAGCATTTGTACTTGTTTTCTCATTGACAATTAAACACCTCCCTCAGATCCTCTAAACAAGATACCCCAAAACTTCAGTTAGCTTTGTGGAAATGCAATGAGCCTTATGCAGAGAGGCAAATGACTCTTCCGTGGAAGATGAGAATTGTACTAACGTGACCCTTGGTACACCTGCCCTATTCTGGCTTGCCTGTCATTTGCAGATCAGAGCCTAGCCCTAGTGGCTACACATAGAGCTCTGTACACATGGATCTCATCTGTGCCACCTGGACACAGCACAATCAAAGTATCCAGACTTTGCAAATGCACCTGGGGCTGAATGGATTGTAGATATGGTAGTTCACTACAGAAACATTAACTGCTTTGCATCAATGGTGGGCAGGCTGGCACAGTCCCATCCTCCACTGTGCCCTGCATGCAAGCATTTTCATTGGGATAGGCTTCTCTTGTGGGTCAGATGAATCTGAGAGGCTCCAGTTGGTTATCCCTGACTTGGCTTTTACAGCCCGATTTGATCCTGGCAACTCAGCATGAGTAACAACATTTCTTCCTTACCTACCACTGTAAAAATTCTCTGCCTTTCCACACAGCCAGCTTATCCTTCAGAAATACTGTAGCTCAGTGCTTTTTTTGGAATCCAGGCATGTTTGCTCAAAGGACCACCTTTCTTTTAAGTCTATAGTATTTTCCCAACAATCAAACTAAAATACTATGTTTGCTGGGAACATGCAATTATTTCCCAAACTTGGGAGAGTTGGGAGAGAGCCTGTGATTTGTAATTTTACAAGAATACAATTGTATAAATGTTGCCATCATGCACACCTACTCAAAGGTGAGTGTGGCATCTGACAGAATTCTCTACATGCTTGCCCCTAAATTGTAATCCTCACGTAAGCACAGGCTCCACATGACTTAGGAAGTGGCTCGCTCCAGTAGTGCACTAGATCATGTGGCCATCCTGGCTTGTTGCATTATGTAGCCAGAAGTTTAAAATCACCCAAGAGTATTTACCAGGTTGGGTTGTTGAGGTTCAACCTGAGAGCAGTTTCTGGTGTGAGGCATTTTCTGGGGTTAATAACCAGAGAACAAGGATGAAGAGGATGGAGCAGAGCGAAGTTTATATGGGTCTTCAAGTCAGAAGGCTGATGGGAAGCCAGTCACAGGCTGCACGGTCCCTGAGGAAGCAGAAGAAAATTCTTCTGCCTCTCAAGGCTAAAACTGATATAATGCAGAAGACCTGGAATGGTGTTCCTCAACTTTAAAATGTTGAATGTATTAGAACAGCTGGAAGGGTGGCCTCTAATTTCAACTGAATTTTTGAAACTGGCAGTTGACTTTTTCCACTGTGTTATTTCCCTGATCGAAACTTTCCCTCTTCCCAGGCTGCTGTTAGCTCCAGTGGAGGAAGAGCACAGACAGGATACCCCAGCAGGCATCATAGCAACTTCAGGTTGTGTGTTCGTTAGGTTAAGTTGCACTATAGGATGCAGCTGGAGGAGGATAAAACCTTCCTACCACCAGCACATATATTCTGACAATATTGGCTAAAGGATGCAGCTGCTTTTAGTTTTTTCAAACAACTGTTGGGGATCTAATCTTGGACTGTGCATCAGGTTCGTTTTGTCCATTGGTGGCTGAATTTTCTAGTCTGTGGTTTGAGGCCACAGGTCAGCACAGTAAAGTGCACTTTGGTCGTTACTGAAGCCCCACTTTTCTTTCCTACAGTGTGGAAGGAGACCCACCGGGGAGTGAGGCAGGCACCATAGTGGACAGTCTGGGCAGCCAGCCCCCATACCGTTGTGCCCCTGAGGTGGGCAAGGTGGAACACTACGATTTGGCACCCTCCTCCTCCTCCTCATCGGTCTGTCACACTCCATCCTCGGGACTACCGTGGGCCCAGCGTGCACGGCTACAGCCAGCCAGCGTGGCGCTGAGGAAGCAGGAAGAGGAGGAGAGCAAGCGGTCCAAGGCACTGTCAGACAGCTATGAGCTCTCAACAGACCTTCAGGACAAAAAGGTACTTGGTCTCTTTATTTATTTGATCTATGTATATACATTTTATTTCTCTACCACTGAAACGCTGAAGTTCTCTGGATGGTGTACAACAATTCATAAAATCCAGTATAAAATATAAATTAAAAAACACAGTATTTAAAAACACAATATTTAAGCCTAGAATCTATTTTGTATTTTGTTTTATTACTATACTGCCCAATAGCCAAAGCTCTCTGGGCAGTTTGCAAAAATTGCAACCCAAAATTACAACGTAACAAATACATAATGTGTTTTAACATGTATTTAATGTACAAAAAATGTACAACAGTTTAAAACCAACAAAAAGTCGTTATATATCCAGATAGAACCAGGTCCCCCATATATCTCTAGGAGCCCTATTTAACCTAATGCTGCCTTCTCTAAGTTTGTGCCCTTGTGATTGTTTTGTACCACAACTCTTATCAGCCCCAGCCAGCATGGCCAACAGATACAATGGGAATTGTAGTCGAAACTGGAGGATGCCAGGTTGGGGAAGGCTGATCTCATGAGTACCACTTGCCCCCTTGACTGGTAGCAGATGTTTGTAGGACTAAGGCTTTCTGAGGCCCAGTGAATTGGCTTCAGTGCTTTTCCCATGGGGCTTAGCATAGCCAGGAGAGCTGGAACAAGTGCAGTTTTTCTGTTGTGCTGACTATCCCGGTGTGAGACATCCTGCAGGCTTGGGGACTTTTCCTGCTTTGCCTTGGGCTCCCTAGAAGGTCAAAGCAACACATTAGAGCGCTGGGGGGCTTTGGGTTCATCTGGAAGCTCTCCGTGATCAGAAAGCTTCACCCCACTCCCAGTCATTCTGTAGTTGGGTGAAGACATGAGACTGGGGCAGCAGGGAGGAGACTTGGATGAATGCCGAGTAGGGCTTTGAGGGGAGGAGTCCCAGTGGAGCACTAACCTTGCATGCGAAAGGTCCCAGCTTCAGACTTTGGCAGCTCCTGTTCAAGAACCAGGCAGCACAGTCTGGGAGAGAGCCTCCTCTGCCTGAGTCACAGGGAAGCCTGTGCTGACCCATGTGGCCTCCAGCATGGTGTCTCTCTAATTCTTGCATGTTTAAAAAGTCAAACTGCTCTATTTACTGGGTGGTTGGCTTGCTGCAAAGGGAAGTGTTGCCCTCCAGTGCAATCTTTATTTAGGTTTAAAAGAGGGCTTTTTCTGTTTTGGAGCTCTTCAAAACCAGTGCTTCATTCTTTAGGTTCTTGGGCGAGTTAATTGGGCAAGTTTTCTTTCTCTCCTATCAGTTTCCTTTCTAGGGAATAACTGTTCTGTTACTATGCCTGCCATGACAGCCATCTTATGAATAAACAGGATACCCACATGGCAGCCATTCTGTGAGAGCATCTACAGCGCTTGCCCAGAATTCTAAGTGTGATCATTGGCCTAAAAAGTCTGGGGTGGGGGGCAGAGTAGACTGCAGTGGGCTGGATGGACCAATGTTCTGGCTTAGTATAAGACTGCTTCAGAAGCCCTGAGGGATGGAAATGAAAGCAGTCTGTTGTTTCATGTGCCCCTGCTTCTTTGCAAATTGAGAGGGGCTTGCTGTGGCATATTGCCCAAGAACCTCCATAATCTTGCTGCCTCTTTTGTTGGTAGCATTCCTCCTCTGCTACCTACCTACCTACCTACCTGTCTTTACTTTTCCATACAGTTCCTCCTTTGAACCCCAGTGTTCCCCTCTTCTTTCCCAAATCCCTGCTGCCAATCCCACTCCATCCTGCTCCTGACTTATCCTTTTTCACTGTCCACTGTAGGTGGAAATGCTGGAGCGGAAGTATGGGGGCTATTTCCTGAGCCGACGGGCAGCTCGTACCATCCAAACAGCCTTCCGCCAGTATCGCATGAACAAGAAATTTGAGCGTCTGCGGAGCTCAGCATCTGAGAGCCGCATGTCACGGCGCATCATCCTTTCCAACATGCGGATGCAGTACTCTTTTGAGGAGTATGATAAGGCCCAGAATGCTCCATACTTTGAAGGCAAACCTGCTTCGCTGGATGAAGGCACCATGGCTACTGCTCGGCCACATCTGTTGGACCGAGGCCTCCCCTATGGTGGTTCCTGCCGGGCTGGGTTGGATGCAGGCTCCCTGCACTCTTCTTCCGGAGGCTTCTGCAATGACATCACTGAGCTTGAGGACTCCTTCTCTAAGCAGGTAGGCACAATGCCTGGACTGCCCTGGTCCAGGCTGTCCTAGCAGCACCCTTTGCTGAACCACTCCTTTCCTTGGCCCTATAAGGGTTCTGGTTGCTCCCTCAAGGCTTTCCCTTAACCTTTGCCAGCCCTTCCCAAATCCCATTTTCCCACCACCAATATGCCTTCAGCTTCCTATGATCTAGGCTAGCTTTCCCAAGCATGGCACTGTCCAGAACAGTGCAGCTAAAATTCCTTTCCTCCCTCCTCATGGATAATTGAGAGAGACAGAGAAAGAGAATGGGTGGGTGAGTGGGTGCATCGGGTCATGTGTATCTGTGTATGAGAGGTGGGTGGGTGAGAAAGAGACCACCACTCTGGGTGGTGATCCAGACTGAGAGAGAAAATGAGGTTGGGAGGGATGAGTTGCCTGGCGGGAGTGCAGGGAGAACAGTTTCTTTTCTTTGAAATAGTTTCTTTTCACATTAAAAACTTTGGCCTCAAAGGCGTTTTATAGTGTGTCTGGGCAGATCCCACCTCTGTCTTTTAGGCAGGTCACTTGTCCTTTGTGAGTAACCATGCCTTCTGTGGTAACTATTTGTGGTGGTGCCCAGGATGTTTTTTCAGATTGCTCATGTGCCCAAAAAGGTTGCCTATCCTTGCTGTAGAGGGAGATGTATTAATAATGATAATGATAGTGACATTGATGATTAGTGCAAAGGCACTGGATGACTGACCAACTAAGCATATTTAAGTGCTATTAAAATTAAATTTTATTAAACTTAGTAATATGCAGAATGCATTTTAATAGCATTTGTACTTAGGTTTTTCTGTTTTACATTAACTAAATCCTCTTCCCCTCATATGGTATGCTCAGAACAGTGCTCCACAGTTCAACAAGAATACTAGGGAAGTACAAATTTCACTCCTTTGTGCAGAACACAATCTCCTGAATATTTTGGCTTTCTCTTCAAAAAGGCCTGGCTTCTAGTCCTTTAAGTTACGGAAACAGGTTTGAAATTAATTGAGCGAACCTAGTAACCTTCAGAAAAGAGCTGAGAGCAAAGCAGCAAGGACATAGAGCAGGCTCTCTGATAATGAGGTGATGTGTAGACAGCCTCAAAACTATTCATCTCACTCGATTTACAAAAATGTTTATCCATTTGCCTGGAAGTAATCTCTGTTCACCAAAGGTGAATGGCTGTTCACAAGACTGGAATAAAGTGCTCAAAATCAGGAAAAAGACAAACAGAAGCATATATAAAGTCATCTTATTTGTTTATGTGTGTATGTGTTTTCTGTGTCCTTTCCCTTCATTTCAGTATACTGAAACAGGAATTCCTATGTCCAGTAGTTATAGAAGTTCCAAAATTGCATCCACACTAGTCTCTTTCTTTGCTATCCTCTGTCTCTGTTTCTGTCTCTGTCTGAGTAACACACAATTACAGTTGCCTGTCCACTGTGGACAGACAATGTTCTTGAGACTGTTTTGAGCAACTGTGCCTTTAATTAAAACCTTCCTCCTTGCAGTTTCTGCCTCTGTTATAGCTTCCTGTTGAAGACAGTTGGGAGGATTAGAATTGCTTCTTATATTGTCTGCTTCTCTTCCCTTAAAAAAGGTGAAGGACTTTAATTGCTAGCTTTCTTCCACTATTTATTTCCTTTCTTCCAGCAGTGTAGTAGTGCTGTTTTGTTATAAAAGAAAAACATATGCAAGAAAATCAGTAACATACATACACACCTGAAGTCTATTAATTAGGGGCAATTCATCACTAATATAGCGCTAAAAGGAAGCAATGCAACAAGTACAGCTCACTTATAAGGAGAAAATGTTGAGGTAATGCTTTAGGAATCCTTTGCTGAACAAGATATATGAGCAAATATTATAGAAGCATATTCCACAGGAAAGGGCACTGTTGGATAATATAGTGCTATATTAAATGTTTATGTGAAACCTGATTTTACTTGCTTTTCCAGCTAATTGCAGAGAAGCAGTTGCCAGTTTTCTACAGTTCTTGATGTTCTGTGCTGTGATTCAATGCCTCATTTGTCTTTCAGGATAGATGACATAAAATATTATCCAAAGCTTGATTCTCAAATACGTGTACATGTTGGCTTACTTAAGGCAGTCTACAGAACAGGACAGTACTTTTGTCATATTTTTCCTGCTATTTTCCTTCTTTAGCACAAAGAGCCTAGCGTAAAACCCAATCTCAACTCCTTTCTGTGCCTCTCGACAGGTGAAGTCTTTGGCAGAGTCAATTGATGAAGCATTGAACTGCCACCCGCTGGGGCAGGAGGGCGGGCCAGGAGGCCCCACTTTGGAGAAGAGTGAATCCAAGGATCAGCAGGGCGACAGCGCAGCCACTTCATTCAGCGATGTCACGCTTTATCTGGATGAAGGCGCTCCCACGTCGCCACTGTCGTTGGAGCGCCCGGCCAGCACCGAGCCCCCTGAGCCCACCACAGGCGTGCCAATTCCACCACCCCCACGCCCAGAGTTTTGGGGTGGGCCGCAGCGGGAGGACAGCCGGGAGAATGGGGGTGGAGGCGGCGGCGGCGGCAGCCGGCGCAGCACGCCTTGTATGGAATGCCGGGACTACCGCCTGCGTGGCGCCCACCTCCCTTTGCTCACGATCGAGCCCCCCAGCGACAGCTCTGTGGATCTAAGTGACCGGTCTGACCGCGGCTCTCTCAACCGGGGCCTCATGTACGAGCAGGATGGCTGCAGCCCTCATGGCACCCTTAAACACCCCGGCAGGCCCACCCACTCCCCACACCCACACCGGCATTACCACCCTGAGCAAAGCCAGCCTCCCCCGCCAATCCCTATACCACCGCCCCAGGCTCCAGGCCGCCTGCCCCCGCCTCCTCCACCAGACAACTCTGACGGTGACAATGACAGCCTCAACAGCACCACCAACTCCAACGAGACCATCAACTGCAGCTCAGGCTCCTCCTCGCGTGACAGCCTGCGGGACCCTCCCCCACCTGCCCCAGCTGCCCCGGCGGGCCCCGGCGGGCCCTGCAAGCAGACCTACCAGCGGGAGACAAGGCACAGCTGGGACTCTCCTGCCTTCAACAATGACATTGTGCAGCGCCGCCAATACCGCATTGGCCTCAACCTCTTCAACAAGTATGATACATGTAGTCCCAAGTTAAGGCGGGGGTGGTACAGCTGGTAGAAGAGCACTCTGCTCCAAAATTCATCACATTTGGAGGGAAGTGTTTGGAAGGTCTTGCGAGGGAGCAGTGGCCTTGTTCCAGGAGCAAAGCAGAGGACACTTGGGATCGCAGCTAACAGAGGTGCCTATCCCAGTGCTAGTACTTTAGACAGAGCTGGTCAGATTGCATGGGCTTGAGCTACCCTACTGGTGGTGGCACCCAGAAAAGCTTGACTCAGGGACAGTATAAAAAGTCTGCCAGTGGCTGCCCTCTGCAAGGGCTTTGGTGTATTTGGCTTCACTGCCCCAGCTTGCTTATGGAAAAGATGCTCCTCTGACTTGGCCCACCCAGCTGAGCAAGCAGAGCATTTGTTCAGGGTGCTGCTTCCTCTCTTGATTTTTCCAGCTGCCCCCAAACTATTATTCCAAAGCCTGACAATATGAACAGTTCTCAGGTCTTTGGATATTCTGTGTCCCCACAGTGTGAGGACAAATGGGTGGGTGTCAAGATGACCTGAGACATGCACAATGTTTACCTTGGAACAGAATTTGATGGTGTGATCATGTCCCAGCTTTCTTTCAAGTAGAAAGCGGAAAATAGCTTCCTACTACCCATGGTTTCAGTTCTGTGTATTCACCTCTAGATGATCTCCAACGTCCCTTCCGACTCTATTGCCTTTGTGTGATTTGCCAAAATAACAATATTTCAAAGCCTAAATCAGAAGCTGAAAATGGGGAATCCGGGCAGATAAAATGAACAAGTCATCCAGATCACATTGTTTGGGGTTTCCCGTTTGCAAAATTTGGATATTCCAGGGGCATAGCTAGCACAGGCCTGATGATAATTACTGTGTTGCAGTTGCTGGGCAACCACAATGTACAATCATCAAGATGGCACAGTTCCTCCAACCAAGGATGATTTCATTTTGTGTGTTGTCTCCCCCTTCTTCCAGGCTCAGCTAACAGGCGGAACCAGGGATTATTAGAGCAAACAGTCAGTGGAAGGAGGAGGGAGGCTGATTAGCTGCCATGGACTTCTTCTCTGGACCGCTAGGCCAGGAAAGAGCTGTGTGCACTTGAATATTGGCAGGGAGGTGAAGATGCAACATTTGCTTAAAGCAGCAGGGTGCGTGTGTGGCAGTGTACTTTGGACACTGGGCATTCCAGTTTCCCAAAACCGTTTTTACATTCTTCTACTCTGCCTAGTTGCGTGCCTCCTCCCCAGTCCTCTTTCCCAAATTGTTGAAACAGAGACCTCACCTCTCAGGAAGATGATTGTCTCTCTCTGCCTTTCCACAAAGGGCTGCTACCTTTTTGTGTGTGCTTTTAAGAGCAACACAACAGGCAGCCGTTTATTAGGTGGCGTTTCCCCAGCTTCTTGCCATGGAGCTGAACTGGGTCAGTCAGCCTGTGGCCCTCCAGATGTTGTTGGGCTCTGACTCCCACCAGGAATCATGGGAGTGGTAATCCAGCAACATCTGAGGTAAACAGTGGGGAAAGCTTCACCAGCTGAAATCTCCCGCATGTCCGGCTGCTTTTCCAGGTAGTCTAAAGGAGGCTGGCCGATATCTGTCTGAATGGCCTCCCTTCCAGCCACCCCTGACTGGTCTCACTGTGATCCTCTGGACCAAGGAAGGGAATGGGGGAAGGGCTCAGATCTTGGCTTCCTGTTGCTCTTGGTGATTTAATTGTTACTGAGCAAGGCAGCATCTGTTTTGTTGGCAGGATGCAGGAGGCAGGCTCTTGGGGGCTGGGAGGCAGCCATCACATCATATTAACCAGCTGTAGTCATGACTCATGTGGAGCGTTTGGGGCAGAGTGCCAGAGCTCCACGCCCTGCCTTCCCAGGGATGAGACCACTCCTGTGCATTTAGCCCTGCTCTGAATCCTTCACCTGGTGGTTCAGGACATAGCCTTGTGCTGGATGGGGCTGGCCTAGGATCTGTTGGTGCTGGAGGCAGAAAATCCAAATGGCACATTACCTGACGTGGCCTGCAATACCTCAGGTTTCTCTTGGTGAAGCCCATTGTAGTGAATGGGAGCTGCTGCTCAAGAGCACAGGAGGACTTCCTAAAGGAGACTCTGCTGCCCTCAGCTGTACTCCAGAAACTGTCCCTGGCCCAGAGGCACAGCCATCCCTGTGTCAGCTCTGGAGTGCTTGGTTCTTCTCTTACGTGGTGGCTGCGGAGTTCTTAAGATTGTCCAGTGCACGGCATGCCTTCTCCCACTTTTCTGGAGCAAACTTGTCCTCTGCATTTAGCAGCTCATTAGTATTGTTCTTGTCCTTTACAATGCTGGCAGAGAGTATGATCAGGCCTGGATTGAGGGATCCTGATTACTTTCTATTTAAGAGAAGCATTTTTCTCTTGGACACCCAGATGTTATGTTGCCCCCACAACCTCATCTAACCTGATCTAGCACATTAATTGGGTGGTGGGGGAGAGGACAATATATGGGAAAAAGGTATTACTGACATCTCGTGGCCACTGAAGTAATTTCAACAGCAAGACTTTAACCTGAATGTGTGGCAGAAAGGACTGCACTGCTTCAGATGTTGAATGATGGATGTGACATTTTTCAGTGTTTCCCTTTCCTAAAACTCCATGTGAGTGGAAAACTGGTATGGCAGACAAAGGGCAGAGCTGCTGCATTCTTTCTGTCTCTTGCCTGCACAGAGATACAGTGTGCTGTCCTGTGCGCCTCATGCTGGTTTTCCACTCACATGGAGCTTTAAGGAAAAAATGCCGTGTCCCCCTTCCCGCCATCTGCAGTCAGGAGTGGCACAGTGGGATGTGCCATCACTGCAGGATTTCACCATCTCACAAAGCTGCATAGAATCTGCTCTGCCAGGTTACATATGCAAAGTTAGGAATGATTGCTAGGATTTAATTTTCACAGGAGGCAAATGTCTCATCTAGATAATCTCAAGTAAAACTGATTAGTTAATTTATTTTCCTGCAGACCCAGTTCATCTCAAACTAATGGAAATGGTTCCCCCTCTCAGCTTAATTGCCTGGGGCAGTGCTGCAGCATTTGGAAAACCCTTCCCTCACCAGCTGCAGTCTCCCTTGAAAATACCACTTGTGCGGCAGTTAAACTGAGAAGAACATTTTCTACTAGCATCAGTGGATCACAGGGCTCTATGAAGTAGATCTGGGCCTTAAAGCAATAAATTTGTAGCCAGGGCTCTGAGGTCTAGCAAAACCCTGGATCTTCTTGAGGGTACAGAGCAGCAGGACAGAGCTCTTCACTCATCCAAGCAGCTCATGTGCTTATTTTATGGATTTATGCCCTGCTTTTCAATCTGAATGATCCCAAAGGTTGCTTTCAGCAGATCATACTATTTAGTACAAAGTTTTTAACGAAGCTCAGCTGTAGAATGGCATGCTGCGGGACTGTGACATTAAAGCCTATCGCCTGCCCTCTGCTACGTCTGTCCCACCAGAAATGTAGGAGTGCCTTTCCTGCAGCAAGCCCAGGACAAGTTGTCCCTCCCCAGGAAGGCCAGGTGCGGCTACTGACTTCAGCCTACAGCTTTGTTGATACTTGCCTGTGGGCTGCTGAAGTAAGAGAGGATACAGCCTTCATCCTTGGGCAGGGCTGGCTTGGTGACACCAACATAGTATTTTAGGGATGCCCAGGAAGCTACTTGATCCTTTGCAATATTAATAATGATCTTGGGGATCCCCTCTCAGAACTTAAGGCACTGTTACTTGGGATAGGGAGATTTCTTGGACCAGCCTGGTTGGTGTGTTTGTTTACCTGATCATTTGTCTTAACCCTTGTCAGTCTTAGATTTGTTTATGCAACCAAACTGAAATTCAAAGGTGGGATCAGAATGAGGAGATGTCCATTAGAACATGAGCAAGCCATACATGGGCTACACATGCCCCTCCTGGCTCTTTCTGTTGTAAAGGCAGGTGCAAGGAGCAAATGCCTTGTTAAAGCAAAAGTGGCCTTCATGGGCATCCCCCATTTTCGGGGTGGGCAGGGAAGTGAAAATGGCTTCCAGAGTTGCGCATCCCTATTTTAAAGATGCTTCCTGCCTTTTCACCAGCAGTGATTTCAGCAGCCGCAGAGAGGGTTGCAGTCCCCCGTTCGGAGCAGGGGGGAATTTAGCCCTTCAACTCCCACAAGTTTTCTTAGCCTTCATTAAATGCAAATATTGTTATTTGTTGTATTTTAATTTTATGTTGTGATCCGCCCCGAGGCTTTGGCGAATGGGGCGGCATAGAAATGTTTTAATTAATAAATAAGTCTTTCAGGTAAAAGCAGTTAATCATGGAGGACTTTCCCCTCATCTCTTGTTTTTGTCCCAGTGAAGTGAATATTTCAGGCTGGACACTCAGGCTGCTTTTGAAGAACAGAGGTGACTCCTGAGATTGTGGATTCTGAAGCTCTAGTTCAGTGGCAAAGCTAGACTATTCTTTTTTGAAACTGTGATTTTTGCTGAAGCACTGCAGATACTGGGAAAGCAGGTGCCAGGTGAAAAGGGTTTCAGGCATGCATGCATACAGGTTCCTTCTTATCCCTCCAACAGGAAACCAGAGAAGGGGATTCAGTATTTGATCGAGAGGGGCTTCCTGTCAGACACACCAGTGGGAGTGGCACGCTTTATCCTGGAGCGGAAGGGTCTGAGCCGGCAGATGATTGGTGAATTTCTCGGCAATCGGCAAAAGCAATTCAACCGGGATGTACTTGAGTAAGAATTTCTACACAATTCATGTGCCTCACCTCCAAAATTATGGGAATTTCAAGTTTAAGGCTTAGCATAGCTGGAAGCTGTCTGGCTAACCTCAGAAAAGCTACTGTGTTTTTAGACTGACCCTTCTCTGTAATATGGGTCTCATGGTTCTAGTCTGTCCTACAGGCTTGTGGTAAAGATTGGTGGGATCATTCATGTAAATGCAGCAATTTGAGCACTGAGGAGAGCACTGCATAGGTTCAAAGTATTGTCAACTTACTGTTTCCAGGCCAATGGAGACCAGGGGATGGGTCAAGTGCAGAGAGTGACTTTAGATTAGATAACGGTTCAAGAAAAAAGAAGGCATGCTAACATATTTCTCAAATATTTGTCAAAAATGTCCATTAGAATAGAGGCAACAAGACTACAAATCAAGGGGTTTAGCCTTCCTCTGATCTGTTAGGTCAGGCATTCAGGAGATATTTCAAGTTCTAAGAGCAGATTATCAATGACATAAATTATATGGGGAGGCTCAAGCTGAACATGGACCAGGAAACGTGCTTTGGGCTATAATACATCCTGCCTTGAGATGAGTGGTTCGCTTAGATCAGAGATCCTCGAGCTTGGATGCATTCTGTGGGGCCCCCTGATCTAAGCCTCCCCTGGTATGGATGGAAGCTTCGTAAAAGCCTGATTGCCACCCAAGTGGTTGGAGTTTCTGCTGCATCCCCTGCAGAAAGCACCCTCCTCACACAACAATGGTGTCAGCAGTGTCTTTTTCAGAGCCTGGTTGCAGGGGGTGTGGTGTGGTGTGTGGGTGTAAGAGAAGAAGAATGGGGTGAGTAAATGGTGTGTACGTGTGGTTGTAAATAGGGTCGTGGGTGTCCAGGCAGGCATGTAGACTTCTGCATGCCACAGTGAGGGTAATCCAACCCACCGTCCCTCAGTATGTTTCCCCAGAGCCAGGGGAGCTTCAGGCCAAAAAAACTTCTGAATTAAGTGAGCCATGGGTCTCTTCTATTCTTACAAAACCATACTTGCATCATCTTGCAGCAGTGGTGGAGGACGGCTCCAAACATTTCCTTGTCATACAGGTGTTACAGAGAAAGTATAGTCAAGGGTTATACTGGTTTTACAAGTCAAGATGAAAAGCGAGGAGGCAGCCTTAGGCACATTGGGCCAGGTTTTTTCCCCACTTGGCAGCATGTGACATCGAACTGCTTTGCTCTGCCTTCCAGCTGTGTGGTCGATGAGATGGATTTCTCCAACATGGACCTGGATGATGCACTGCGAAAGTTCCAGTCTCACATTCGGGTTCAAGGCGAGGCACAGAAGGTGGAGCGCCTCATTGAGGCCTTCAGGTATGCTGGTGATGCAGTCATCTTTCCAGACTTCTTATCTAGGAAATGGGTAGGTGGATGCTTAATCTAGAGCAGGGCTGTGGACTCTGTTTCATCCCAAAGGCCAGACTGGATCCAGATTAGTGCTCTGAACGCTGTAAGATGGCCAGTAGGGAGCATGTGTCTCTGTCCCAGAACTCCTTTGGTTACCTGCTGCAGTAAGGTCTTGTATTGAAATGCTGCAGTGCATACAATCTAAAGTTACCCTCAATCAAGGTGAGTGCAAATCATCTTTTGCTTTTGTTTGGCGTTCTTTGCATATCACAAGGGAAGCAGCTGCTGGAACACTGGTTTCATTTCAGGGGCAGCTTTGAATGTTGAATGTTGACTCCAGCACACATACCCTCTAGCTTCTTGCAGCATATAGAATGTGCTATATGCAAATACATCTTTGCCTGCTTCTATCCAACCCACGCGATTCATCTGCCACCAAAAACAGTGGATGGGAGATACGTGCGTGGCAATATATGTGCATGTGAGCGCGACGGAGTGGTACATTTTTGCACGTAGTGGGTGTGCAAGGACAAGAGATGCACTCTTTTCATTCTGTCTTATATAAAGATGAGGTCAAATGATCACCATAGGTCAAAGAGTGTCAGTCTGCCTGAGGAAGGTTTGAAAGGACTTGTCTCCTTTCATTTTGGACAGTTAAAATGATTGTAGTGCTTATGGTACAATATATTGATTATTTTTAAGGCATCATGAGACTCCTTGTTGTATTGTAAAATACAATGAAATTTTAAAATTACGAGACAGGAGCATGCATTTTAAGAGGTTGTGATTAAGAGAGTTAGCTTGTTTAGCTTGAAAGGCTGAGAAGGCAAACTGCACAAAATGCATCAGAGCACCAGGGCAGAAATGATGCCAGCCCCCTGCAAACTTAAATCAACTTTGAGAATCTGTTGTGAATTCCTCCCTCTTTCCAATGTGATGCAGGGGTTCACAGACTTTCTACCCCCAGGGGACTCTTGAGAGAATTGAACTGACTGAGGCCCACTCATCAGAAAACTGGCTAGCAGAGGCAGAGTTTGGCATAATCAGCTGGTATGGGTATCTAATCCAATCCAAGTCTTTAGAAATTGACAGATTCTTTGCCACAGCTGTTTCCTTATAGTGGGCCATTCTATAATTCAGCTTCCCTTAAATTGTGTACAGGCAGCGGCTGCAGCAGGATGAGCCTTTGGCCTCCCTGTTTCAGCAGGAATTGCTGATCTAGAAACTTAAAAGTAGAAAAGACATTTAATTTTGTATTGTTTCCCTCCATCCCTCCCATGTGCTTCTCAAGGTAGTCTTACTTCTCTCCTGTCATTTCTTCTCCCTTCTTTCTTACTTAACTTGCATGGTATTCCCAAACGCCAGTTGATTCCTACTTGCTGATTTTATGTTCGTGTCCTCCTCTCCCATCCCCGTCCTTGTTATTCCCAGGTTTTTTATAAAAAATGTTATTAAAGGTGTTAACCTTGTCTCTCACCAATGCCTGATGCCACCTGTGTCTATGCTGTGTTCCTTGGGTGGCCATGGTGTGGGGCAGTGAAAGAGGCACTGAGCCCCAGGCAGAAGGGGGGTGAGACTCACTGGCAGGGCATGAACCACAGGCTGAGAAATGCTGACCTAATGGCCTGGTTTGCAAAATCAAAGGATGGCTAATAAGCTACTGTGGACTTAGGTAGCATTGTAATGTTGTGAAGAAGCTTGTTAGCCACAGTGACAAACCACTCTCACCAGGTATGCACAGCATGGCAAACCGCACTGCCAGGAGCAGCTGGGCTCATCCACCCGGCATGTGACTGGCACATGCAAAGTGATTAACAAGGAAGGATACCCATCCTTTCCCCCTCACCAGCACACCAGTGAACAGCAGGTGTGCACTCTCAGACACACTCCCACACGTTCATTGGCTTGGGCTTGGCGTTTCTGGCACAGCTCAGCCGTCATTCTTGACCATAGTTAAGAAGGCTTTTGGTGCAGTGCCTGAATTGACAGCCCAGCCTTTGTGATTACCTGGCAAACCTGAATCAGAAGCCTTTTAAATTTGTTTATTAAAATTTTTATATAGCTCTTCTCATTTTAAACAAATAACACAAAATGGCTTACAAAAGAATAAAAAGAAACAAAAATTATTGCACTCACATATACACAAACACGTGAAATAGTATATGACTAGCAGAAAGATTCTCTATGGTTGCAGGAAAGTCAAAATACACTTTTTATGGTTTGAAGTGGAGCTGCAGACTATTGTTTGCATGAACTGTGATTTGTAGCGGTGCTTCACTTAAAGGTTGTTGCATAGTGATCATCCTCATTTGGAGGATGGGAAGGTATTCCTACCCAAGGTCAGACTGTCTAGACAGCTGTTCTTTTTACAGATGTGAGGTCATCTTCTATAGCTTAAAGATTGGATTGGTCTTGCTTCACTTGCACAGATCATGTGGAGCTCTCAGAATAAGGACATGCTTAAAAAGAGGAGGGAGGAGAAATTTTAATTCATTGAGCAGAGTCTCAGGCAGTTTAAGCTTTGGAATGGTAATTAAATTCTAGTTCCATTGATTTGGATTTTGTTTGTTTGAAACCTGCTCATTTTTACATTACCCACCCCATTTTTTACAAGTGGATATGTGAGTGTGAAGACTGATTGTAAAGAAAGGAGTTTGAAGCATAAAGGTACCTACAGGCACCATGTTTTATTTATTGTAAAATGAAAAAAAAACTTTAGAAAAAAATTCCCTTTGCTGAGATATTTTCTCACTGCATTTGGCACACTTTGGTCTGAATTGGATGGATCAACCTGTGAGCTTTGGGCAAAGAGTTGGCCCAAGAGATATCTAGCTTCAGGTCCCCCTTTAGTCCTAATTCACATGCAGCAAATAGTGAACTAGATATCCCTACCTTGACTCAAGCTGAAGGAGTCACCTCAGGATGGATAGATCAGACCACTGCCATAATCTTACTAATAAGCTCTGCCCAAGTCACATGTTAAAAAGAAATTTTGGTGGCTTGTGTCTTCATGTATAATTCGTGAGAGATTGGTTCTCTATCTAATTTTCCATCTAGGGCAGCAAACTATCTTGAGCTGGTCCTGGCCTGTCAGGAGTCTTTCACCCCTGCACTGACCATTGCTTTCTTTTTGTCTTGGCTTCCACCACACGTGCTCCAGCCAGCGCTACTGCGTATGCAATGCCCCATTGGTGCGCCAGTTCCGGAACCCGGACACCATCTTCATCCTGGCTTTCGCCATCATTCTTCTTAACACTGACATGTACAGCCCCAGTGTCAAGGCAGAGAGGAAGATGAAACTAGATGACTTCATCAAGAACTTGAGGGGTGAGCAAGGCTCTTCTGTCTGTCGGTCTGTCTGTCGGTCGGTCGTTTGTTTGTTCTTAACTCTGGAGCTGAAAGCCTCCTGATTGTCAGTCTCTTTTCTTCAACTCTTCACAACAAAGTTGTTGGGAGTTCAGAACACAGACTACCCACCACTGTACACAGGTCTCTGCATGTGCTGTAGTTCCCTGGAAGCTCAGGAAGGAATTAAAACGAGACAGCTTGTAATTCTTCTTCCCAAAAATGTCAGCTTTCTTTTCTTTGCTAAAACTGACTCATCAGGTTTCTTGGCCTCATGGCAGAGAGGATATGCTTGGACCAGCAATGCCTGATAGAATCTCAGAAGCCAGAAGGATGACTGAATGTGTAATATTAAAGACATATGCAAGTTTACGTAGTGAAAAAGACCTACAACTTCCAGCATGTGCCAACCACAACTGGGGCATGCTGGAAGTTATAGGCCTTCTTTCTGTCTAAATTGGCATAGTTTGCAGCCTAATGAAGATTCAGGGGGATTTGGAGGTACAGCTTCAATGTCCTTGCCGCCCTTACAACTACCAAGAGCAGAATAATGGATGAAAAATGAGCAGACAATGTACAAATGTATTAGATTTGCCTAACTGATGCAAACACTCAGAATTTGGATCGCCCAGACAGAAAACTTTGTCTTCTAGTACCGAGTAGCTATAGCCCTGGCCATACAAAGACAGGCTGTCAAAGTCCAAGAAGCTGAACTAAAGGCGTTATCTCTATCGTCTCTTCAAACTTGGAGCATGGCAGTGATGGGCTATGAGAGGGGGAAAAACAAATGGTTATTATGGAACTCCTCCGGCTTCAGCAGACCTGTCCCCTATGCAAAGAGCAAGTAAGCACAACCTGAGTTAGAACACATCTTGGCAGTGTACCAAGTAATCTTCTGATGTGTAGAAAATTATGATTAAAAACACCATTTTTAAAAAATATGAACAACCAATAAGAGAGAACAATGAGAATTTTAATAAAAAAGAAAGTTATAGTCTAGAAAGGGGAAAAATGCTTAACTTTTGTATAGGCTTAGTGTTTAAAATAATTCTATAACAAAACAAAGTATGCATGCAGGTGACCTGCAACTCCTCTTATTCCTAGTCAACATAACATTGGTTAGAGATCATGGGAATCATAGGCCAAAATACCCAGGGGCTACAAGTTGCTTAACCCAAATGTTCTTCATAAGAAATTAGGCCTCTTCTAACAACCTTCAAATCTTAAAAACTATCATCTGTCTCCAGCCTAGATAAAACAGCCTATGTTACATGGTCAGAAGGAACTATTGATTTAATTTATTATTCAGTGCTTGTGGACAGGAACTGTTTGGCATTCTAGAGGCAAAGACCCAACCATTCACATGTTGGCAGTTCTGTGAGAAATGCACATAAAGTAGCCATATACCTGTAGTAATTTAAATCTGTATCTAAGCTCTCCTGGCTTAAGAGGGAAAAATAAAGTAGAAATTAAAGCAACGCTTAATTCTCCAATTATAGTTTGGATTTCTTTATACATAGGCAAGCAGGCAGCAATGGTATTGCACAGAGAAATTAATTCATTAATTAAAGACAAATTCAGAGTAGATTCAACACCACAATAATACAAGGTGAAGAACAGCTTGTGCTTGCTGAACTGTGCTTTCCATAACTAGTTATGCTTTCCATAACTACCAGGGGAAGCCACAGACTCACAAAGTCTGCTGGATCTCTGGGAAGGTGCCTGTAACATTTCAGGGCATTGGACGGTTTCTAGTGTCCTGCTGATTCTAAATGAATTATTCTAAAGAGGTGCTTTAATGGAAAAATACATATCCCAGAATATCAGTGAGATTTCTTTTTACACAAACCAGAAGCACTTTTCAAATTTCACATCAACCCTGAAGGTAACTTTTTGCCTCTCCCCGCCACACTGCACTACCAGCATCCCACAAGTGCCAAAGACAGAAGGAGGATGGAAATAAAAGAACAAAAACAAAATGGTGGGTGCAAGCTAATTTTAACACTTTTGATACACCTATAGCAGATACAGATGCCAAGTTTTGTGTGAAGGGGAATTTGTGGAGAGCTCCTCGTGAATTTCATTGGGTGTGGGAGTTGCATAGGGATGTCCTGCAAGAGCACTCATGCAGCCCATGACCCATATGTTGCTCACCCCATCTCGGCTGCTTACTATGTGACATTAGGCAGGGTCTTATTTCCCCCATCCTCCACCTTTAATATGGGGTTAGTCTGCCTGCAGGACTGTTAAAAGGACTAACCAAGGATCGTCTTTGAAGACACTACGGCATTGTCATTATCATTGCTTTCTAAGCAGACTAAATCTGCTTCAGGCTCCCCTTGCAATCTGGTGATTTCCTCTCTCCGATTTCTTTGCCAGGGGTGGATAATGGAGAGGATATTCCTCGTGACCTACTGGTAGGGATTTATCAGCGGATCCAGAGTCGGGAGCTGCGTACCAATGATGACCACGTGTCTCAGGTCCAAGCAGTTGAGCGCATGATTGTAGGCAAAAAGCCGGTGAGTGGAAGAGGCCCCTCTTCAGAGGCCTGCTCTGGGCTTGTCCTCTGCCTGGTTCCACTCCCAGCCTGTTTTTCCCATGTGCCCCATCCAGGTGCTCTCCCTGCCACACAGGCGCCTGGTTTGCTGCTGCCAGCTGTATGAAGTACCAGACCCCAACCGACCCCAGAGGCTTGGACTGCACCAGAGGGAGGTCTTCCTCTTCAATGACCTGCTAGTGGTAAGGATGGGGAGGGAAGGGAGCTGAGAGGCCTGGGTGAGCCTTGCTTGTTTTAAACACACACGGCTGCCTTACTATGCATCAGTTTTGACCAGCCCAGCTAACAGTCAACATCAGGCCTTGCTGGCATCTGCATCAAGCAAAAATCCACACCATCCTTCAAAAGTCGCCATCACTGTTAAAGGATGCCTTTTACCTGCCACCTCCAAGTTGAAGTCACATGACCACTGTTGCAGGGAACAAGTTATCTCAAGACTTCCCTACTTCTTTAGTCTGCATCTGAGATCCCTCATTCCCGGATGTTTGCAGGTCCATTTCGTCATATTATCATCCTCCAGGGCTGCTTCTGTGTTTCCAACCTTTATTTGCAGCTATTTTAGAGCAAGAAAAACCAGCTGTTATTACCTAACATGGTAGGAAGGCATACAAAATGTATTTTTTGCAGTTGTGCTATACTGCAGTGCCACCCTGTGGTGGTTCATTAGAGCATATGGAAAGCCAGAAAAAAAAAGCACTTGGGCGGGGGACGGGACACATGTAAAGGACATGCTGTCCTTTTCACAAAGGAAATGAAAGAAGCCTCAGTAGCACCTCCTACAGAGAAGCTCTCAGTTTTCCAACTTTTCACAAGGACTTGCTAACAAAAGCATTTTTAAAAATTAAAACAACAAACTCAGTGAAGGAAAGGAGGGACTCTGTGGAGGGAAATGGAAATATATATCTAAACCTATGAAGAGTTCATGCAAATTTAGAAATCATTGATTGAGGGTGCCATTGTAGTGAGAATATACATAGGTGTGTGCCATTTCCTTATTATAAAGACAATAATTTAAATGACCTGGACTGGATTTGAGAAACAGAAGGAGGAGTGACATGATAACTGGGAAGGTCACATCCAGGGCCAGTGTCAAGGTTGGCATGGCTGGCACTTGCCAAGTGCTAGCAGCTCAACAGGGGTCCACTGACACGGCCCCCTGAGCGTTGCTGCTGCTCTTGAACTAGGCAGCCTGCTTCTTCTCCTGCCTCTTGCTCTGGCCTGGAGAATGGCAGTAGTGCTGAGGAAGAGAAGCAGCTGCTCCCGCAAGCCCCCTGGCTCTCTGCTTGCCCAGCAAGCCAGTGGTAGCGGTGATGAGGAGGAACATGAGCAGCTGGTGACCATTGTGGTGAGTCAAGTCACTGAGGGAGGGGGGCCCTGTCTTAGGGGCTAGCAGTGACCAGTGTGAGAAGGAAAGCAGTCAACTGGCCATTCCATGTAGGCTTTTGCTGCATTCTATGTAGGCTTTTGCTGGTCATTCCATGTAGGCTTTTGCAACCAAGCTCCTGTTCTAGTGCAGGAATGTATGACTCTACCATCCGTTGTTTTCATGCAATCCTTTGACCTAAGCACAAGGACAGACATGGTCTCGATGTGTCACTGAGGCTGGCCAAGCTCAGTAAAGTAGACTTGCCCAGCTGCTCAGGTGGTGCAACCCTCTGGGCACTCTGCTTAGGTCTGGGAGTGAAAGCACAGCAGTGAACTCATGGTTCTGTCTCCTCTGCATTGATCCTCAACAACATTGTATTGTTTAGGTGACAAAAATATTTCAGAAGAAGAAGATCCTTGTGACGTACAGTTTCCGCCAGAGCTTCCCTCTTGTCGAGATGCAGTTGCAGCTCTTTCAAAATTCCTGTGAGTATCCTCCACTGCAGAGGTAGCCACCCGTCTGGAGGTTGCCTTTTCCCTGGGTTAGGCTCAGTCATTAGTCTATGATTCCCAGTCAGACACCCTTGAGAACCTTTGGGCTACAGCTCCCAGCATTCTTGACTGTTGGCCTTGTTGGCTGGGGCTGATGGGAGCTGAAGTGCAAATAAATCCGAAGACTGCCAGCTTGGGGAAGGCTGCAGTATCAATTGCCAAAATTAGTGCCCACACTCTTGTAACTATGACAGAGGTCCATTTGGTTTTCTCTCAACTCCCCTTCTTCTTCTGCATTGACTTGCCTTGATTGTATGCCTCTCTGCTCTGCTGTGTCTCCTATCCATCTCCCCCACGTGCTGACCTTCTTTGTGGTCTCTGTGCGTAACACATATGGAGCTGCCCCTGCATGGAGCCTTGATTCGGGAAACTTTGATAGCTGAGAAGTTTTGGTGGGAACCCCTCCCCACTCCCCTCTCACTTACCATTAGTGGGTTTCTGCCTAATTCCCCAGTTCCCCTTCAACCACCCCTTGTGGTTGTCTTGTTGGGAACATGGTCCTTTCTCATCAGAAAAGCCCTTTCTCAGATGAAACGTATCTTTTCTATCCTTACTTGTTTCTTACTATTTTTCTTGTACCTCTTCTTTTATTTTAGCAGCTTTTGATCACTCTTTGGTCTCTGTGGCATATGGCCTCAAGAGTGCCCTTTTGGAAACTTCCATCTGTGCATGGTCATTCCCTCTGCTTACTCTGCTTGGGAGGGGGTCATCTCATAGGCTCTTTCCACACTTTCAGGCCTTTCCTAAACAGGCCAGAAGAAACAGGCTGGACAGAAAGGTTTTCTCTGGAAGCAGCAGAAACCCTGTGCCACCATGTGGAGCCTTATACTAGCCAGTCCGCTGTCTTCTCCTCCTTCCAATCCATCATTTCCTGGTATCAGCTGTTCTTATGGCAGCAGACTGGGTCCCTCAGTAATTCTCTCCCAGAAGACAGGTGCGACTTGGCAAGGCTTGGAGGCCTTCCAGTTGCCCAAACAACTGTTGTATGTGTCCAGACAGCAGGTGCCCTGTGATGTCAAGGCTATGATGGGGGGCGTGGCTCTGTGCAGGCATGCCTGGTTCCAATCCGCTGGTTTGACCCAAGAGGCTAAATGAAGGACTAAGGACCCCAATTGATAGAGGGCGGTTCTTTAAATTTAAACGGATGAGGCCATGGACTCCAGGCAGAAAGCAGGAACCACGGCCAGAAAAATGAGGATCAGCCACTCTTTAGTGGCTCCTGCTCAGTACCAATGATGGTCTCAAGGCCCCAGTTTTCCCCAGACTCTACACCAGCATGAGCAACATTTCCACTGACATGTAGGAAGCAGTACTTCCCCTCCAGGTGTCATTCCAATATTAAGAGCAGAAACCAGGCCTCCAAGCAATGCCATTGATTCCCACCTTCTTTTCCACCTTTGCCTGTCAATCTATATTGGAACCACACCAGCTTTGTCACTTTCAGCCTGACCCACAATTGCAACAGATTCTTGTTCAGTAGGGCTGTTGAATCGGACTCCATGTCCTCCCCCCTTTCTGGGTATTGTTACCCATTCCTTCTCCTGCTCTTCAGGCAGAGATAAGCTCCTTACTAAGGTTCCCATCTCCAAGGTCTACTCAGTGTAGGTAGTCTTATTTTATGATCCCAAAAAAGCTGTGTATGCCTTTTTCTGCACCAGTGGCTTACAGGTATACCCTTACCTGAGCCATGTACTCCTAGCAGCACAGTCAAGAACCCATTTGTCTGGTGCCTTTGCATTCATGTTGAGACTGCTGCATGGCCTTGGACTTTACACGAGTGTGGGAAGGTCTTGTATGAACCCCATTCAGACTATTCAGTTTGTCAGGGAGATACTGGACTACATTTCAGGCCAAACCTACTTCCCTCAAAGTTGGCTGCAAACCCTACAGGACTTGGTAAGCAGCACACAGTGGGTTCCTTGGGTCTTGGTTTTTACCACACGGCTCCTTCTTGGTCTTATGGCTGCATCTGTGGCATCAGTCCCCTTCTCCCATGTAAGAATGAGGGTCCTGAAGAACTGGTTTCTTTTGCTTCCGCCTCCACAATACAACCCCAGGCAAACCAATCTTTGCATTACTTTATGGAATCATTGCTACATTGGTGAACATGCTGTAGTACTTTGGTAAAAAGGACCTTCTTCCACCAGCCGCATCAACCCAGGTAATCGCTATGAATGTTTTTCTTTGAGGCTGGGGTGCTCATTGCAATGATCTGGAAATCCCGAGCCTCTTGAAACGCATATGCACATCAATATTCTGGAGCTACTGGCAGTACAAAAAATTCTCTGTGCTTTCAAGTTTGAGATAGCCAACCACTGTATCCAGATCATTATGGGCTTTGCAATGGTAGAGAGGCACACACCCATCACAACTCCTCTGCCTAGTGCTGTCCTTCTGAAATTGGGTCATTTGGTGTCATGCAGCACATTAGCAATACACATTGGCAGTGCTGGCAATGAAGTCTTGCAGTTGACTTCTGCCAAACATGTCAGATACCCCATGAATGGGAGCAGGATCCCAAAATGCTCAGCCTGAGCTCTTCTGTGCATGAGGCACACCTTGTCCAGACCATTTCACCACCCTAGAGAACATGGCCTGCCAACTGTGATAAGTCAGGCAGGGAACAGAGAGGACTTCTTAGGGGATGCCTTCATGCTCTGCTGGTCAGGCAGCCGGTTATACATCTTCCCACCACTCCCACCAATACTGAGGGTCCCGGCAAAACCATAGGAAGATGCCACAGATTGCATCCTAATCACCTCAAGCTAAGCCTGGTTTGCACCATTCCTGTACTCAATGAAGAGAAAATCCCTCCCACTTCCTCTGATACCAACCCTGCTCACTCAGAATGGAGGTAAAATCCAACATCTGGTCTTCAAACTTGAGATACCCAAGGGACCTTTTGTAATGTGAAAACGCAGTGCAGGACCCATTAATAAATATATCTCAGGTAATATATTGTATTTGAACAAAATGTTACAATTCATGTCATAATAATACATTTCATACAAGGTAAGCAGAAACTATTTATAAATCCATTAAAAATCCCATTTTTTACTTAGTAACAAAATAATACATCTACCGAATACATACTAAATATTAGTATAACATTGCTAATATGAAAACGTATACATCATTTTAAAGACTTGGATGCACTTCTTTTTTGCCACAATCAAAATTTTATGTTACCAATTACAGTTTCAAATACATTTCTGGTTCTACATCCATTTTATTCCTGTATTAAGCCTATGTGATAGTTGTTCCTTGAAACCACTTTGGCTTCAAAATGAATTAATCTGCTTTTAAAAGTGTGTGTGTGAAGGCTCTGAATTAAAACGAACAAAGACCTTATCTTGCCAGACTCCTCTTTTAAATGAAACAAAAAAATGAAGACCTTCCATTTTCACTGTAATAGGCATAAACCGTGGGTGGTTCTCATGGAACTTTGAGATTCTGGGGAACACCTTTTGAATACCACAGATCTAGACCTGCAGATGCTTGGGAGACTCCAGTAACCAGACCAGTGCTGACATCTGAGCCTGCAGTTCTGGCAATCCTGGATGCAGCAAGAAAGCCAACTACTAGGGCCTCCAGTGACAGGAAATGGCCATCTTTCTTTTTCTTTATTCAGTCAGAGCAACTCAACCCTCATACCTGCCTCATTCATCAATATCTCCAACATTTCTGTCTACTGTTTTTCAGAAAGGCCTAAACATTTCTTCTAAGTTTATTTAGCTGCCATTTCACCTTTTTATATTCCAGTGGGAAATTCCTGCCTTCTCATATCTGACAGTTAAACTCCTTCTGTGCAGAGTACATGTCATTGCCCCAGTGAAAGAACTCATCAAACACTGGAGCCTTTCTGATGTCTTGAAGGCACCTGCTGGGAAGCCTTTTTGCTCATGGCTATGGCAGACCTTTGCTTGCTGTCCTGGAAAGTAGCCTTCTTTGTTGCTATCACGCTGACATGCTGGACTAGCAAACTTGCTACACCTTGGGTTGACTCTCCTTGCCTTATCGTTCAGACAAGGATATACTTTGGCAGACATTTCCGTATCATTCAGAACATGGTATTCTTTCTTCCCTTTGCCTACCAAACCACTGGGAGCTATCATGCCTGTCCTTCATCTTAGAAGGGAGTTTTCCTTTTATAAGGCAAGGTCAGGGCCAATCAGGAAGATGCCTTTCATTTTCTTCCACTACACGGGGAAAAGCAAGGGACTCCCAGTATCTTCCCAGTGTCTATCATCTTGGGTGGTGCAGACTCATTCCACACACATCAGTTGCCTCTTGGCTCAGGACATCTTGACTATGGAATTATGTCAAGCTGCTATCTGGTCCAAGCCATGCATATTGATTAAATATTAAGTATTATTGCTAGGACATTAGAGCCAGAGCTCCTTTGACTGAGCAGTGCTCTCCTCTATACAGGAACACTGACCCACATCCAGTAAGTCAGCACGCTAATGACCCATATGTGTGATGCACCAAGATCATGACAGACAGAGCTTCTTTCCTGTAATGGTAGTTCTTTGAGTGGCCCTCTGTGAGTGGCCATTTACGCAACCCACCCACCATCCTTACTTTGGTGTTTCTCAATACCATTGCTTTCTCTTGACTCTGAGGCCACAATGTCTGTCCCAATGAAACTGAGGGAATAGGTGCTAATCTCCTAATGATAAATGGAGGGATGGATCCCCATCAAAACTTCTTAGCTATGAAAGTTTTCCAAATTGAAGTGCACAGGTGCAGAGGCCATATGCGAATGAAGATGACCACTCAAAGAACTAGTTACAGAATGGGCCTCCACTCACCCAGTATCTGACTCTCTTCCACCCAGATTACCAGTTTGGGATTAAGCTGCTCTCAGCTGTTCCTGGTGGGGAGAGGAAAGTCCTGATCATCTTCAATGCCCCCAGCCTGCAGGATCGGTTGCGCTTCACCAGTGACCTGCGGGAATCCATTGCAGAGGTGCAAGAGATGGAGAAATACCGTGTGGAATGTAAGTGAGATCAGTAGTTCTAATCCTCATTGCTGTGGATATATAAATGAGTGTTGGAAAGCTCAGCAATAAGCTGGAAACCACTCTGAAAGCCTCCAGTGACTAGAATGTTCATGCCCCAGAACTACACATTCCAGCATTTTAGAACAAATTTTGAAAATGTCTTTTGATCATTATTATTTCCAAGCATAGCATTGGTGGAACCATGTGGCCTTTCCTTGTAAGTTTGGGCCAAGAGACACCATACAGAAGGTCCCTAAATGTCCATCTCTTCTTCCCCCTACAGCGGAGCTAGAGAAGCAGAAAGGGGTGATGCGCCCCAATGCTTCCCCTTCCTCTGGGCCTAAGGATACTGTGAATGGGACCTTGACTCGCAGCAGCCTGGAGGATGCCTACACTGTGGGTGAAGGGCTGAAAAGAAGTGCCCTCAGCAGTTCCCTCCGTGACCTCTCTGATGCTGGTGAGGGGCTGGGGGTCTGGACTTTGGGTTCTTTCCATGGCTCCAGAAGGAGAGCACCTGGTAGGCCCAGGGCTGGGACGAAGATCAGGAAAGGACCTGAATCTCTCGATTGGTGCTGATAAGAATTTTAACGGGCATGCTGCCAAATCTGCCAGAAAGTTTCAGCCTGGCCAGTTTGGGGAGTCTTTTGCCAGACTAGGCCTGGCAGTTTCCAGTGTGGGATTTAACAGATGATTTCACTGACACCACAGTGTGCAAAACACCCTCTGCATGCACCTGAGCTCTGAGCTCCCTTTTCTGGATTCCAAAATGGAAACCAGTTTAAATGGAGCTTTTCCCCATTTATACATTACAGGTTGTGATTACTTGGTTTGAATGCCATTAGGAAAAAGTGAAGTTTTTTAAAAAAGGAAGGTGTGGGCAGAACCTGCCCCGACTTCCTAGGTTTCTATTTGCAGGGAGAATTTGCATTCATAGATGGAGCACCTACTGCCTACCTTTAAGAGCAGGAACAATGTGGCCTAGTTTAAAAAAAAAAACAAAAACTGCTGTGCTGAAACGTAGTGTGCCTCTAGTTTCACTCCAAAAGTTGGTCCTTCTCTAGAATGTAATGATTGTGGCTTTTTCTATTCACTGAATGAGAACTCCTTGTCTGGCTAATGGCCCCTTGTTACTAAAGACTATGACCCCACCCCCTGGATTTGGATTGCAAGCACAGATGCAGGGGCTGCTATTTGCTGGTGGATGGATGGATCTCTTCCTCTCATTTTATGGTGCCAACTTCTGTGATGTGGGAAAGCAACACAAAGTGTGTTCTGACTCTCAGAAGGGAAGGGGTAGGAAACTGCAGACTGCAACTCAGACTAGTGAATGGTGACAAACGAGGCTGTTTTGCATGGGTATTTAACACAATGTCTGCACTGCATCAGACTGAAGTTGAACAGGAGCGAGACACTCCCTCTATTTTCCCTCTGTCTTCTCCTAACTCTGCCTTTGCTCTGTTGCTCTGCTTAATGGGATTGTAGGGAAGGTCCCCTTTGCCCCTCCCCCAGTTGGGAATGTTGGCTAAAAAGGGAGAATGGGTGGCATTCAGGTCTCGCTAACCCCTGCTCTGTTGCAGGCAAGCGGGGCCGCCGTAACAGCGTGGGATCCCTGGACAGCACCATTGAAGTAAGTGGGCTGAAGGAAAGGGAGACAGATTTGGGTGTGGGGGATGGAGAGATGCAGACGGGATTCCCTCATCCCTGGGATTCCCTCATCCCTTCCCGCTTTCCGCCTTGCAGTCACTCTGTGCTTCTCTCTCTTCTTTTGTGTCGACCTCGACCCCCAGCAGTGAGACACCGCAAAGGCCTTGGAAGGGCGGGAGAGCTGGTCGCCCTTCCTAGCATGCAGAACTTTTAGCTGAGGCTGGCCCTCCTTCAGAGGCAGAAACTGCAGTCCTCCCTGAGCCAAAACCAGGGGAAGGCCGAACGCCATAGGCACGGGGGGTCATCGAAGCCGATTGTCTAATTCCCCATCTTTTCTCTGTCTCTCTCTTTCCGTTCCCTTTTTCTTTCTTTCTCTCCCCCTCCCCCACCCCGCCTTAGGGGTCTATTATTAGTAGCCCACGTCCCCACCAGCGAGTGCCGCCACCGCCTCCCCCGGAGGAGTACAAGCCGCAGCCTCGGCCCCCCTCAAACTCGTCCTCCTTCTTGGGCAGCCTCTTTGGCAGCAAGCGTGGCAAGGGCCCCTTCCAGACCCCGCCCAGCCAAGCCTCCGCCTCCTCCTCCTCGGCGTCTTCGTCGCACCACCACCTGCCCCAGCACCACCCGCACCACAGCCACCCGCCCCTTCCCGACGGCGGCCAGTCCAAGCTGCAGGCCCTGCACGCCCAGTACTGCCACGGTCCCGCCGCGCCGCCGCCGCCGCCCTACCCACAGCAGCCGCCGCCGCCGCCACAGCCGGCCCCGCCGCCGCCGCCGCTGGCCCTGCCGGCCAACCCCTTGCCGCCCCAGGTCCAGCGCTACCACCACTCCCAGCAGCCCCCGCTCTCGGCCCCTCCGCAGAAGCAGGCCGTCCCGGCCTTCCCCACGCCGCAGCCGCACCACCACTACACCCTGGGCCGGCCCAGCCAGCAGAAGCGCGCGCTGCAGATGGCCGCCGCCCAGCACGCGCCCTTCCCGCACGGGCGCCAGCCCACCTCGCCCCTCCCACTCTACAGCCCCGCCCCGCAGCACGCGCTGGCCCACACCTACCCGCAGCAGCTGCACCAGCCCGGCGGCGGGCAGCACACCCTGCACCGGCAGCAGCCCCCCAAGCACTTTATCTTCAGCCATCACCCCGCCCAGCTCCTGCAGCGCGCCCCGCCCCCGCCCGGCGTGGGGCCGTACCCCGGGCACCACGGCCACGCTCCGCCGCAGCACCACGGCCAGGCCCCGATGCCCCCTCCCCACTCCCCCATTCCGCCCCACCCTTCTTACCCGCCTCTCCCCCCTCCATCGCCCCACACGCCCCTCAGTCCCCACTCACCCGCCGCCCCTACTTCCCCAATCCCCCAGCACATCCCCATGCACCAGGGGGGCCCTCAAGCCATGCCTCCCCAAGGGCCCCCGAACCCCAAGCCGAAGCCAGTCAACAGAATCAGCACTGTCGTGTGAGGAGGGCCACCCTACGGGGTGATGGATATAAATATATAAATAACAGCTCGGAGCCTCCCCCTCCCAGCAGAGGTGGTGGTGGGGCGTGGGGGAGGTCCGGAAGGTGTCTAGACTTTATGGCCATTCCCTTTCCTCCTCCCCACTCCACACCCCGTCCCTCTTTTTCCTAGGATCAGAGCTGAGAGAGGGCATTCCATGGAGCCTCGGAAAGGAAGAAACCTGGACCTGCAACGCCGCTCGTGGCTTGAGGGTGGTGCCAGCTTCACCCATGGGCCTTGCTGCTAGGGGTTCCACACCTCTCTTTCTCTTTCCTGCTGGCCACCTCCTCCTCGTCTTCCTCCTCCTTTTCTTCCTCCCCGCTCCTTTCTGATTAGAAAGTGGGGTGTCTGCAGACAGTGTGGTAAACTTTGCAGAGATGGGCATTGCTACATAAAGGAACCAGGTGCACAGGAGGGCAAAACTATTTTCTGGAATTCCCCACTTTGACTTTTCTCAATACTTGCTGTGAGGAGGAGAGAGTCTGGTGCAGCTGCATAGCCCTTATCCCTGCCTTCCACAACCTGACTGCACATCTGGAGGGCATCAGGTTGGGGAAGGTCACACTAGGCAGACCTAGTATACACCATGAGCAGAGGAGTTCCAAGTTTCCCCAAAAGGGCATCTTTGGCAGTGACAAAATAGCACTGGCTGTATGTAGGGATGCATTCAGTTCTGAGGATTTGCTCTCCTGGCCCAGTCTGACATCAGTCCAGGGACAAGTTAACCCCATTCGTCTACTGTTTGGATGAAACAAGGTATCGTAGGTCATGTGGGGGCAGCCAGGCATTTGGTGGATTTTGCACCTCCACACCTCCATGTATTTGTACTCTCTCCCCACAAACACCAGCGAAAACAAGACTCCTGGGGAGAGGACAGCACTGCTTTTTCTCTCGGGTTCAGTCTGTGCCTACCCTCCTGCACCAAGCCAAGGGTCTTGCCTCTGGAGCTGTTCTTCCCAGGGGGCTGCCAGCATGCCCTTGCCCTGGTGGCCACTGATCAGACCTGCCCAAAGAGTGTCATTTTTTGCTGGGAGGGATGACCAAAGGAGAGCCTCTTTTAAAAACAAAACCCAAAATGATAACTTTAGCTTTTTTAAGTATTCTAATTCATAAAAGCATTATCTGGCCATAGCCAGATACTCGAGTAGCCCACAACTGGGGAAGATACTCATAATAGAGAAGCGACTGAAACTGGATTCGAGACCAGCCTTGCCCAACCTGCTCTCCTTCCAGATGTGAACTGGCACCTGCTGCCTAGCCAGCTGTATCCAACAGCTTTTGTGGGCAAGCTGGGCAAGGCCAGTTGAGCCTCGCAGTGCCACTTGTGGCCTGAAGGTGGTGCCGGTTTCACACCTGGCTTTGATGCCAGGAAGGGCTTTCTTGCCATAATGAACTCTCAAATTGAAGCAGATTGCCCAAGTTCCAGTTCACACAGCTAGTAGCAGCCTGGGATTCATTGCTCCATGGCTGTTTTTAAGCCATTCTGTGATACGTCTGGGAACGAGGGAGATGGGGCTGGCTCATCAGTCCACGGCATGTGGAGCAGCCCTGCAGTGCCCCCCCCCCCCGCACATGATTGCAGGATCAGTCTGGTTACTGGAGAAGCTGTGCTTTCCCCACTCCCAATCATTATTAACTGGCCCTTCGACACAGCTAGACCAGTCATACCAGTTTCTCAACACCATGTGTAATTAGAAATAATTTCAAAGGAAGTCAGGTTGTTTTGTTGGCTGTACACATTTGGTAATGCTGCATGTAGGACACAGTTAATGCAACAGAAAGGGGAAGGTGGCAAGCAGGGGAAGGCTTAAGTCTCCCCCACTCCTGTGCATGGCAGCCTTCCTCCCTCCCGCATCATAGCTGATCACAAACAGCAGTGTTGAGCAGAGCCCAAACTTGGCTTCCTCGCAGGTCTGGTGGCTGTTTGGCAATGTCAGGGTGTCACAGCACACTGCCAGGCTGCTTCTGGTGTCAGCTGTGCAGCTGGGACTGCTGTGTCTGCTGCCTGTGTGCTCCTGTTCATACCTGCATTGCTTCCCTAAGACCAAGGAGTGGTTTCCTGCAGGCAGGGCATCTGCAGGCAGATCCCTCACTTTGTAGCAACAAGGCAGCTTGCACATGCACACTCTGAGTTTTGTGGCCCTGTGAATGCACATGCAACATCTGGGCAGGTTGCGTCATCAGGGCCTCTTCAGCATCTGGCCATATTTCCTCCCCCCTGCCTCCACATGGGCCACCAACATTCCTCCAGTGTATTTTCTTGTAAACTTTTTGCTCATGACAGTGTATTTTCTTGTAAACTTGAAAATGCTTCCACTGCTCTGCACCGAAGACACCCTGTCTGTTGACTGGCCCATTAGGAAGCAAAAGCAGCCACCTGTCCCCCATGGGGGGTGGGGGGTGGAGGTAGGTTCAGGCGTCTGGGGTGCTCCCTGCCCTTTTGAGGAAGAGAGGAGGAGGCTCTCCTTTTTAATTTGCACAGGATTTGTGAGTTTATGCTGTTTACATTAAAGGATGGAAAGAGACGAGGTGTGGGAGATACGTGAGGAAGAGGCAGGTCTTGTATTTTTTGGGAAATCCAGACATGGGGGAGGGCACCTGTCTTGCCCACTCAGTTCTTATTCATAAAGGGCTATTCTTACTCCCTTCCCCTCCCCACCCCTGCTGAGGGGTTTGCACTGAATACATTTTAAAGGGGGGGTTTGATATTCCCTGGCCTGTATGATTCCCCTCTCCATTCAATTAGGGATGGGGGAGAAATAGGAGTGGCGGGTGGGATAGGATGATCTCCTCTCATCCAAATTGCTCTTTCATCCTCAGTGTCTCTCCCTCTCCCTGGTGACCAAGGAAAGGCAACAAAGCCCCCTCCCACTGGTTCCTTGGGAGCTTAGATGCACTTTAACCCCCCACTCCCTGCTTCCTTTGTTTCTGGGAAAAATGGGATCTAGTTTCTCCTGTTCCAAAGCCAAGCCTGTGAGGCCCACCCGAGCCTACCTTCCCCCTCAGCCTTCCTTCCCTGACTGCTACCTTCCCCCCCCCCACCCTCTTGTCTAGTAGGCTTAGAGACAAGAGATTTTGTTAGCTACAGCTTTGGGCAAAGGGCAATGGAGAGTGGCGTAAGGTTGCCAGATCTTGTGTTTTTTTTTTTTTAAAGGAAAGGTAGTCTGAGTGAGCAGTGCCTGTTTGTGTATTTTTAAAGAGATGCTGCGGATTTTGGATGAAAGAAAGTATTTTCATGTTTAACTGAATGTTCAAATGCTGTTTCCCAAACTTATGGTGAAGGAAACAGCCTGCTTTTCCTGAATCAAAATGAGAGGCCATTCAGAACAGTGGCACATGCCAAAACACTGCGGCTGGCTGCTCCAGAAAGTGGTTTCCCTTTGGGTGTTTCTGCTTTAGAGTGTAGAGATCAGAATGGCCTGGCTTCTGATGTGGCAAAAGCAGATTTGCAAAAACTTGGATGATTTTAATTATTTTAAGCCAGCCTTCCATACCCTGAGATGTTGGGCTATAACTCCTATCCTCAGCCAGCCTAGTTACCATGCAAGTTATAGTCCAATGCCTCTGGAGGGCTTGAAGATTGAGAAGACTGTTTTAAGATAGGTTTCTTACAGTGCACTGGACAATGGTGCCAGTGTGGCTCAGCAACCAGGTTCAGGAAAGACTGCTCAGAGGAGAGCAGGCTGCATGAGAGGCAGATTCCAGGCCTCTCATGACTTGGGGCTGGGTGGGAAGTGCACAAGAGGACCAGTTAGTGGAGGGATGGAGGTGGTGCTTGGATTCACTGATGTGCAGCCCACAGTCACCATTCTGTGCTCCCCTTTTTTTGGCCACACCACCACTAACTGATCACACCCCAGAGACTTGAGGGAAGGCAGGTGTTGGCTTCAGCTTTGCTGCAGCGGCTCCCACTTGCACCCTGCAATGTCCTGGGCTTCTTCCCTCTTCCCTTCATAGCCCTTGTCAGGTCTTCCCACCCTGTGCCCCACCCCCGAGCATGCACTTTGTCCCTACCCTGCACTGCATTTCCTGTGTTGGGTTTGTTGCTGTACAGAGATTCCTATGTATATACTATATATTATAAATATCAGCCTCTAGAGGGAGGGGGTGACCCCAGCCCATGCATTTTCAGCAGCATGGGCCTCTACCCCTGCCCCTTCCCCCAGAGCTCATGGTTGGAAGATTCCAAACTGTATTTTTCGGTTCCTTTCCTTCACCCATCCACACCCCCTCCCCTCTGGCCCACTTTGTACATAAGAAACTGTATATTTGATGCTTCATAAATTGACCAAATGTCCTTGCTGTGTGAAGGAAGAGTGTCTTGTGTGTTATTTGCCAACATTAGTGGTTATTTGGCAGGGGGGATGGGGAGTGTGTGGAGGGCTGGGAAATGCAGTCCTCCAGCAGAATTGTTTAGCTTTCAGTACTGCAGCCCAGGGCTCCTTGGAGGTGGGAAGTCACCTGCTTCCACTGTAGGAGAGGTACTTGCATAACTGACTACTCCCCTCGATGTTGATCAGTTGTCAATCTTTGTACATAGAAAATTAACATGCCAGGGAGAAGGCTAAACTCTTATTCCTGAAGTGCTCTTAAGGACAAGGTATCTTTTGTGTGGAACACTGAGCTTGCTGCACCTGGTGCCTGGGATGGCAAAGCCCAGATGGGCAACACCATGAAAAATAAAAAGGCATAATAACCAACCTTCCATGGCTGCTGAAATGGCACCACTACTTTTTGAATAATTCTGCCTTTACTCCTGGTTTTGTATTTCACAGCCATCATTATTTCTTCCCTTGCCAGTCTTTTCACTGGTAGCAGGAAAACTACAGTGCCATCTTTCACACACAGGACCTTCCCAAAACAAGCAAAAGCATCATTAAATAAACTGGTTTTCTCCAAACTGTCTTTAGTATATAATAAGAAACATGATGTGTGCTATAATTGTGTTGAAGTACACACTACTAGTAGAGAAATGCTGCAAAATCCCCACCCAAACATGCCAAAAAGACGAAAAAAACACAGCTATAACCTTCCACACATTTATTTCACAAAATTTGCAGGCCAGGCTTGGCTCCTGTATGGCTCAGAGGTGCATGCAAACTTGGGGGTTGCTCAGTTCCTACCCCGTGCCCCTGCCACTGGCATTCAGAACAGGAGTGGTAGCCCCAATTCAGTGGCACTATTGCACATGTCTCCTGGATCAAGAGGTGAAAGGAGGCATACCCTGCAGGTGAGGCCCAGCATGATCAGCTCCTACTCTTAGTAGCCCCACTTGCGTAGCTTTGACCTAGCCAAAACTACCCTGCCTATTTCTCTATGCAGCCTTCCCTCTCCGATAGGGCAATAATGCACAAAGAGACATTTAGTTGCAAAGTAGTATACACACCACTGTCTGCTCCTAGAGCTTGGGCATACACACATGAACAAATTATTTCACTTCGCACTTAAGTGCACCAGGATTTGGGGGAACGGAATAGCCAGGAGCTAGATCAAAAGCTGCCATGAATACAAAGACTAGTCCAAGTCAACAACTACTGAAGAATGCAGCTGTAAAGAAAGGAGTGTAAGTATTACTGGCCTAGCAAGGCTGGAAATGCATGGGAGGCTGATGACACTGTGAAGGCAGACTAGGGCACTGTTTAGTCCAGGGATGCTTTCGCCAGAACGCTCCAAAAGGTCAGGCCAGCATAATGAAATCCAAGCAAGCTCTTGCTATCCTGGACCTTAAGGCAGCCCAGGCCACAGCCTCTCCTCTGCAACACACCAGAAAATCAGCTGGGTTTCAGGAATCTGTGAATGAATGCATGACTCTGGATGAAGGCTAACTGGTGATGCAGAGCCTTCCAAAACTTCGCCTCCACCTCACCAGAGCTGAGTTTCACGGATCTCTGAAATAGTATGGCTGGCTTTCTGCAGTGCCTGAAAAAGAACATGAACTGCATAAGCACAAACTACAATAAGCTGCATTAAAATACATGAGAGAAATATAAAATTAAAATGTATACATTTAGAATCCACCCTAAAAGAAAGTAGAGCATTCTTAAGCCAGCTCTGAAATGCAAGGGGAGACTTCCATCAGGGCAGTCTGCCAAGCAGAAAGGCCTAAAGAGAGGACACAGAAGGATCCAGGATCTCCCACCACTGGAAGGTGCCTCAATCGGATTTTCAAGGACAATCCACCCACCCAGCACCAGAGCTTACTCCACTGCCTCATGTTTTGTAGCATTTTCAGAGGGCTGTTTTTGGAAGGAATAAGACAACTTCTGCTACCCCAGTTCTGTGTGCTGGATCAGGTGACAAAAGGCACACGCAGCCCACCCTTGTGCATCTGTGCTTCTTGGTCATTGAAAGGTCAAACAGCACATTTAATTGTACCTGAGTGGTACTGGCAACTAGTGCAGTTCTCAGGATGCTGCAGGGGAGATGGGACTTAGAAGCAAACTGGCTTGCTTGCTGAGCCAGAGAAAGAAAGTGCAAATATCACAGACTGTAGATAGTTCAGGGATTCACAATGAAAAATGTGCAAATACATGCAACTATCTGGAGGGAAGTGTCATTTGGAACACACACACAGAACAGAGACCCTGAATGAACTCCAGCTTGACAGATTCCCCCCACACCCCCGACTCTGCCCACCCTGCTTCCCTCCATTACCTTGAGCATATTGGCAGCCTCGTTCCGTTGCTGAGCCATGTCTTCCGATTCAGTAAGTAACGTGTCAAGGAGCTGGGGCTTGTACAACTGACCCACGAGCTCACTCTGAAGGTGATCCTTGACGTAGTTCACCAAAAAGTGCATCACCGTTTTGGGGACACTGCAGTTAAGACCAGTTAAGTCCTTGAAGCAGTTGTGGGGGCTTCAGAGAGCTACCTGGCTAGGCCCCTCCCACCACAGCTCCTGTTAATGTTCCTGCTTTAGGAGAACTGGAAAGGTGCTTCCCCCTTCCTAGCCACTTAGCAAAATTATATGCATGCTGGACCAACTGTCTTGAAGGAAGGAAGTTACATGGACTGCACGATCTACTAGCTGCAATATTCACTTATGTAAGAGTAAGCCACCCCAGATAACCTATGGCTAGTGGGACGGCATATAAATCAGCAGCAACCTCAAGAAATCCGATAGGGAAATCAGTACATGATGGGAGCTGACCAAGCCAGAGCTGCCCTTTCACTTTCCCTTTTCTCCACACCCACAGAAGGCTACAAAGTTTATTCTGCCACACAGATTTTCAAGAAATATTCATGTGCATACGAAAGAGATGTACAGCTTGTGTTATCACCCAGCTCTCCTCCTGCTTCTTTGTGCAACCCACACGGGCGTTCTGCCAAGTCCATCTGATTCTTGTGCCCCTCTCATGCTCCCTGCCAACTTCATTACCTGTCCTGAATGCTTTTGCGCACAATAAGGAAGTAGGACTTGATCAGGCGCCTGATGACCTCACAGTCTCGTTGTTCGCGCTGGCTCAGTTTCCGTGCAGCTGGCATGGGCTGGGAAGAGGTGGGAAGGCCCGTGTGAGTAAGAGGCACCAGAGGCGGTGGAAGCAACTGCAGCATGCCTGGTGGAGCAGCTATCCTTGTTTCCATATCCTTGGCTCAGCTGGGGACAACATGTCTATTCCTCCCCCACCAATGCTGTAATCCAAAGCTGCCACCCCCTGCCCATACAAGGGCAGACTGAGGCTGCTGTTCTACTCACAGTTTGCTTAATCAATAGGATATAAAGCAGCTTATGTGCTCCTTGGGCTGGGATCTGCAGTCTCTGCCTCCCATTCCCTCCTGGCACTCACTTCCAATTAATCCTCAAGCCTCAAGTCACAGCCTGGATCAAACTCCAATCCACAGCAGCTGTCTTGCTGCTCTTAAAGGCAGGTATGGCTCAAACTTGAGCCCAGGTAGCCAGTCTATCTGCTCTCTCCCTCCCTGCCCTTCCACCCCCAGCTGTGTCCCCAAAATTACCGTATCAAGCAGGTTGACTGCATGGGACCGGCTAGGGCTGGAGTAGCCAGATGTCTGGGAGGACGCTTTGGGCCTGTCCTCGGTGCCAGATTCTTCCACTTTCTCACTTTTCCATCGCCGAGTGCCGTCCAGCACGGGTTCGCTCTAAGCAGGTGGGAAGGACTGTGAGAGTGAGTCAGTGAAGTTTGACTCAAGTCAGGGATGAAAGCCAGAAGGGGGCACATGCTTAGGGGTGGGGAGTGTACCTTGGAAGTGCTGACTGAGGCAGACACCAGTGCCGTGTCAATGAAGTCTGGGTGCTTGGTATTAATATAGGCTAGCTCAATTGCAACCAGGTTGTGCACCTAGGAGAAACGCATTGTTTGGACCCACATCCCCGAGCTGGGCATACAAACACAGAAACAAAGTGAGTCAGAAGGGGCCTCCCGAGCCATCTAGTCTGACCCCTGGCTCCAGCCAGCTCTGCTTACGACATGCCCACCATGTGCATGTCTAGCCTATCCTTAAAAAAAGGATAGGACCCAGCCTTCCCTCCATCTCTCTCAGGGGTAACCATCAGTCTTCATTACCATCTCATTAGTGATGGGCAGCCTCCTGCGAAGGACTCCAGTCACTACCTCCACAATGGCCTCATGCAACTTGGGGAAACGTAGCAGCTCCTAGAGAGGCGAAAATGTTATTTCACGTTGGCTGAACATGCCTGTTGATCCTAAAATGTGTCCCCAAGGAAGCTCACAAAAACTGCAGTTAATGCACTTTCATAGTTAACAAAAAGTGAAAGAAAACAGACCACATTTTTAATCTTACACCCCACATTCAAAAACTCTTACAGAAGGATTATATTGACCAGTCAAACTTGATTGTCAAAATGTAAACTGTAAGCTCCTTGCTGTAAAGACCTGCCTCCCTTTGCTTAGGCTGTTCTTAAACTTAACTTACGTTCTTTGATGAACAAGGAGTGGGCAACTTGTGGTCCTCTGGATGGTTTGGCCTGCATTTCCCATCCTCCCTCTCCACTAGCACTGATTATGCCAGTGAGAGAGGGTGGGAATTGTGGCCCTCCAGAAGTGTCAGTCTCCAAGTTGTCTACCCCCGCATTATGTAATCTACAGACAACTTCTTACAGGGACATTTCAAATGGCTTTGGCATTTGCATCATTTGTACACTGCAAGATTTAATTTATGGCAGACCATTATCAAAATGGGAGGAATGGAGCATGGCCATTACAAGTCACGCCCAGGATGAGGTCCTCACTTATTCAACAATAGTTAACTATAGCATGGCAACTATTTATTACAGTCCCAGTGTTTCAGGCAAAGGTAGCAAGTTCAACATAGTTCAGGGGCTGGAAAGTTGGAATTTGTAACAAAGTCTGAGCACTGTGAATTACTGTGGTAAATCTAAAATGGCACAAATACTGTAACAACCAGGAAATGTCTCAAAGGAATTTTGTCCAAAACTAGATGGGAGCAAGAGTGGGCAGGCATTTTACTACTTGACCCCATGCCCACCAAGTGCAGCGGACCTTACACCCAAGTAACATCTGTGCTCTTAAGAAGGGTGGAAGCAAGGCAGGGCTGCAGCTGGCCCTTGAGGGTGCAGAACCCCATCCCACATGAACAGGCCGGGTTCAAGCATCCTGATGACAGCAGGGTTGGGGCAGAAGGGCCTGCCTGTGGAGGGGCAGGGGAGACAGCACCTGTGTGTTGTAGGTAGAACAATGCTGGATGATGCGCTGCAGCTCTTCGTGCACCAGCTCAACACAGCGAAGACTTGGCTCCTCCAGGCGTTTGATCTGGCGCTTCACAAGCAGTTCAAAGGAAACCTCGGGGACGAAAAGGGCAGGGCGTGGACCCTGCAGGTGAGGGAGAGTGGGAATCAAGTCTATGAACAGAAATTGCCACCCAATGTTGTCTTCTTTCTCCTCAAATCTCTAGATTAAGGCACATGGAAACTAAAATGGGGACACATTCTGAGAACACCTAGTGCTTATTCTGGGTGGTCACAGCCACTGCCACCCATCGCAGAAGAACACAACATCAAAAATTCATCTCAAGCTTGGTCACTGAAAAGCTTTCCCATGGATTTCTTTCATCTCTCTATCTAACAAGTGGTCTCCTACTTCCAATTAGTACATCTTCTTTATTTTTGAAAAGGAACTTATCTATCACCACACAGCTTGCAGCAGCTAGGGACCTTTTCCCTCTGAACAGTCTAACCAAAGCACATTTACTCCAACATGAATCCAAGAAAGTTCAATGAGACTTACTCCAGAATGATTTGGAAGAGGGGTTACCATGCAAATCTACAAAATCCTTCCATCTTAAGATGTTATAAGCGTCAGACTGGGCTTCCATCCATCTGCCACTCTTCCCTCCCCAAATTCCTCTTTCTTTCCCTTTCCCGGCACTCAGCATCCAGCCTGAGTTACTAGGAAAAAAGTCATGGCAGATCATGTGGGGGAATTTAGCATGATGTTCCCAGCAGCTGTCAGTCACTCTTGCAGAGTTTCACAGAAGTGGCAGTAGAATTTTTTTAAAGGCAAACAGAGCAGTTGCTACTGCAGTTATGGTGGTATAACTGCTCCAGAAAAGGAGCGAAGAAAAGAGGGGATCATATCTTCCCTTTCAGGGGTTGACCTGATCAAGGTGGGAACAGAAGAGAAAGAGCCATCCCCTCAATTGCAGTGAAGAAGAAAATCAATGTAACAGAGCCAGGAGAGGCAGATGGGGTTCCAGGGTTGTAGCCAAGGGAAAGAAGAAATGCCAATATTACCAAAACGCTGCATATTTGGGGACAGCGTGATTGCTGCAGTAGAAGAGTTAATGTTTCTGTGTCAGAACAAAGCCTGGGTATCTTTATAGGATTGTCAAGGGAACAGGGATGCCATTCCAGCAACCAGTTACAGTCCAGCTTGGACAGGGTTACTATAGCAGTATCTGGGAAAGATAGGTTGCTATGGCACTACAACTACAGAAGGGATATTGCCATGGAAATGCTGACCATGACAGCAGTGACAAAGAGAAGGATGGACAACCAGACAAGGGAATGGCCACAACACAGCTGTGGGGAGACACCCCAGCTCAGGTAAAATTCATAACAGTTGCCTTAGTCTAGTATCTCACCCAAGCCTGGGGCATGAAATCCTTTCCCTCCAGGCCTGCTCCCCTTTGCCTGCTGGGATACCATGAACATCTGCAATCACAGGTAAGATGATGCAGCCTCCCTCCCATCTCCCTCCCACATACAACCATTTGCTGAAGAGGAAAACAAAGCCTGTCCCATTGGTTTCCAGGACCAGTTCTTCTGCAAACTAAGGACAAAAGGTTAAGCCACCATCCACAGACAAAGTTTGACTAGCTCAGGACTCCTGCATGCCATCAAATTGGCAGGAGACCTGGGGGCGGGGGGGGGTTGCCCTCATACATGTGCAGGAAGTCACCAAGAGCCACTGGTGATGGAACTGAGTGCTTCTGGAGTACACATAGATTTCTCCCAGGTTCTCAGTGAAATCTGCAGGCTAAGACAACTGCAGGGTGAGGGGCAAGGCTGAGACAGCAGCTTGCTTCCGCCTACCTTCCAGGTTCATAGAAAGTGGCTAACTGATGTACTAAGCAACATGAGGTATACTTGTGCACTCTAGTTCTGGTAGACTGGGCTCCAAATTATATGGGCTGGTGGAAGGAGGGGAACAGGGGTGAGGACAAAAGCTGATGGGTATGATCTAGTGATGAAGATGAAGAGTGGTCTCGGTGGCCTTGCAGCAACATGACAGTGACTTACAGTGGCATTTCTGATGGCTGTCAAGATATCCAGCATTGTAAGTCCGGCCAGCGGATCAATGGACTCCAGGGTGCGACCAAAGGTCTCGTGGAAAATGTAGCACATCCGTGCACCGCCACACCTGGCCGGCAGGGAAAGCAGGTCAGCCTCAGAGACCCGAAGCCCTGCCTCATTCCACACCTAGCCCAGTGGCATCTTTCTCCCGGGGCAACCTCACCACAGGGCGTCACTCACAGCTCTGAGGTCTCGATGTTGCGCGCTGTGCCCTCGATCGTGTTGCAGTACTCAGTAGCGAACTTGGTGATGATCTGAAGCAAGGTAGCATTCTTGTCCTCAATGGGCTGCCCATAGCTCTGCAGCACTGACTGGTACTGCGCCGTCAGCACGTTCACCCTGGTCTTCAGTTCAGGCAGACAGTCCCGGATGTGGTGCATCAGCAGCCTTGCGGGAGGACAGAAGCAGCAGTAACTGGCCCAACCTTGCAAGAAGAGGGCCTGGCTTTTAAGCATGGGGTCCCAGCCTCAAGCATGCAGGGGAAGGGGGGAACAGCGGGAAGACTGAACACACTTGGCTTTTATGTCTTCCACAGCAGGTGGGGGCACAAGAGGACCATCCAGGTATCTCATTCTATCCTAACTATCCTGCAAGAGAAATGTGGCTGAAGATAAGGACATATCACTGCATTTGAGCTGCAGTTTGAGCCCTGGTATGCCAGTTAAAGAACCACAGACAGCAAGATTGTGAAGGCCTTTGCACAGTACAGCCAGTCAGAGCTCAACAGACAATAGTCTTATTCCATGCAAAGCAGTGGCACATGGGAAGCTCTGAGGCAGGCCTCAGTGTCCTGTCCAAACTGCTTTGGATTCAGGTTTTAATTTCAACACTGCTCACTTCTCTGTTCCTTGCTTAGTAGTTCTGTGAGCATGGGGAAACAGAAGATTGCAAGCCATGCTGCTGCACGGGGGATGTGGACCTGCGGGGCAGCATTCTCCCTTCCTGTACAAAGCCTGACACAAAGTAAAGAAGAGCTGGCAGGGACTTTGTCGCTTCATGGAACCAACATTTCTTTCCAGAGGCAACTGCCAAGATACACAGACCAGCTCAGCTAGCCAGGACAGGTTTTTAGAACCTGCTCGTAGAGAATTTTCAGGTGTCTGATCTGAAGCTCTGAGATGGCATTCAAAACAGAAAGCAGATTTTGAGCTCTGTTTTTCAAAATATACTTGAAAAAGGCACCAGTATTTAGAGCACAGAACAGAGGATTATTGCTTAGGCACGGAGCAGGAACTCTCCCAAGACAGGCATGCCACATGCACTGTGCTGAATCCTCTGGCAAAGCCTGGCCATGCCTTCTGCTTCCCGTGCCCTCCCCTTGTTCAGCGCCCCCAGACATCAGTCGTCTTTTCTTCCTCAGCAGCCTCTCACCTATTGAGGGTCTTGGCCAGGTGGCGTGTGCCATTTCGGTTGGCAAGTGATGGGTATTTCTTCTGCAGGAAACCCTGCTCATCCTGCAGGGACTCACTGATGCTCTTGTTGCTGTTGATGTCATGCTGGCTCCTGGGAGAGGAAGGAGAGGCCACAATTACAAAGAGATCAGCATGAGCCAGAGTGACGTCTCCAAGCAGTTGGTGCCCACAGCCATGAGTGCCAGCCTTTGCCACAGATATGGGGCAGCTCCTGGCGTGTCATGCCAGCACAATCCCCCTCTCCAACAGCATCCACTTCTGACTCCAGCTTCCTTGCCACTGCATCACCCAGGCCACTGACCTGTTCACCACCCCAATGATGCCCAGCTTGACAGGAATAACCCGGCCCATCAGCACGTCCATGGCATCCGTCCCAGCATCCATCAGGTCCAGCTTGGTGATCACAGCCAGTGTCCTTCGCCCTGCAGAGAAGCTCTTCCCCAGTTACAGACCTCAAGACTGGCTGAGAGAAGGGAAAGGGGAGATCTGGCATGCACCTCTGTCCACCCCGCACCCCATGCTCCATCTCGGTCTCTTCTCTCACTCGCCCAGTCCTGCAGGCCCACCACTATCTGCTGGCAGCACAGTGCAGATCTCAGATTTTGACCAAAAGCATGGAACGGTTCACACTGGCGGTGCTGCCAGCCGCTGTGCAGCTGCACTGCAGTGCCTCGTCCTGTCCCAACACAGGATGGTGTCCCAAAGAAGCTTTTTCGGGCCTCGTTCCAGTGAGGGGCAGGGCCAAACCCCTGGCATATTTGATTTTAAACTCTTCCTGCCAATAATTAAGCCTTAGGAGAGGCATTTCAACCTTTCAGAAAGGGGGGAAATGCACATAAGCCAAGAAGCTGCCAAAAGTGTGTTGGTTGGGCAATCTGGCAGGAAGCAGAACACCAGGGGCAGATTTTGGCCCCCAGGTGGAGGTTTGAAGCCCTGCTGCACCTGGACCAACCACTGGCTTCTAACCTTTCATGCTTTCCTACCACACTGCAGCACACACAGAGCACACACAACCATACCATCAGGGTCTACATCTCGTGCTAGTTTGAGCGCCTCTGATGTGGCCATGTCTGTGTTGGCAGCTGTCACAGCCAGGATCAGGCAGTTTGGATTGGAGATGTATGACAGGATCATCTCCCGAACTTGAACCTCAATATCCAGGGGCTGATCCCCAACAGGTACCTATGAGGCAATGCAAATATTGGGAAAGTCAGGTCTCTGGGTTCAACATAGGTAGAGTAGAAGCTGGATACTGCAGTGGCAGCCATAGCATGATGCACCCAGGACTGAAGTAGATTCTACACAGCTGCCTCTCATTTTGTCATTCTGTTTCTACCCAAATCAGGGCCATGCCAAATGAGAGCAAACTAGGAGCAAAGACTCTTGGTTCCTTTCCCTGAGTCTAGGAAAGGGAACCAAGTTCAGTAGGAGGACACAAAGGGAGGGAGGGCGGACTTTGGGGTTCAAACACCTGTTGCCTACTAAGATTGATGCACAAGTCCTAGGAATGTGCAGAGCCTAACTGTGCTTTTCAACACAGACATCATCATCCAGCCTAAGAATATTAGTTTTCACTCGAAGACAGTGGAGGACAGCATATTCCTAATACTGGTGGCTGAACAACAAAAACCTGAAGCTTTAAGCAGTTTATTCTAGAGGCAGGGCTGAATATGTCTATGACCTCACACAATCACATACAACCACACAATGTGGTATGCCATGGAATTTCCTGAGAACGCAAGTTTTCACTTTTATCATTTTTGAAAGGAGGTGTTGAAGCAGTTATAGCAGCAGAAATTTGTTAGAGTGCGCATGGTCCAATGACACCAGGGAAAACTGCAGAAGAAAAGGACTGGATGGCCAAGTAAGGCATGGTAACAAGGAAAGCTTCACCACCCTCGGCACAGCCTTGGGCCCCCTCTGTGACTTGCATGATGGCAAAATAGACAGATATGGATTTTTTTATCATTTGTACAGGTTAAAGAATTCAGCTACTCAGCACAGAAATATATGTGCATTTTTGATTACACACAAAGTAGACAGAAATCTGGTTAAAGATTCAAAAGGAGAGCAAAGTTGAGTTCTAGGATTTTGTTTTTCTGTTTCTCTCTTTTTTATGCTTAGCCAAAAAGAGGGCCAGCCCCAGAGGGTGGTGTGGTCAGGCATTCTCTGGCACCCCAACACAGGCCAAGGATCAGCGCCTTCAACAACAAATACGGTTTCACCATTCTCACTTTGCACCCTCGCAGATCAGGGGACAGCATGAGAGAACGCTCCATTTTCATGGCCTGCCAGGTTAAAAAGGAATCCGATTAGGGTGCCTTACTTTAAGTGCCCTCCAAATCCTGGAGCTGGCTCCAGCTGAAGCAACCCTACCAGCTGGTGCTCCTCAAGGCACTGCAGGTCTGATTCAACCTCCCGTGCTTGAGTACAGGATTCAGTCTTATACCCTTGTCCAGAGCACACATTAGTTCATCACTGGGGTGGCAGTGAAGAGCTGCATCCCAATCCACACAGCCTGTATTGTGACTTTTTCCCAGGCAAATGGGACATGATGACAAAGGGGAGAAGGGTATACAGCACCCTCTACTCTCAGGACTACCCTGCATGTCTGTTTGGGTGGTGGGAGGTGTGTGTACCACTAACACATACAACACATACTCGTTCAGCAAACTTCCCCCAGGGAAAGGAGACTTTGGTCTACTGACCATAGCGTTGAGCCCTCTCCAGCCAGCTCAACCCTATTAAAATAGATAGATAGATAGGGAAATACCTCCTTGGAATAAGCTTTATAATTCCTGCCACTGAGCACTAGGAAACTTTAAGAATGGTGTTTTATAGCGCAGAAACTTCAGGCGCTGCCAGAGAAAGCTTGGCAGCTACACACTATGCATTCTTATCTAGGGAGAAAGAGATGTGGGGAAAGAGCCTAGAGTTTCTACCCTGCAGTTACCCCTATCCATCGCCACTTTGCATAATGACTTTACACAGGCCTAGAAATCCCCCCTTGCTGCTCGCCTGCCTGATGGCAAACCTGCTGAAGCAATCAGCACCTCCTCAGCCTCAGTCCAGCCTCAGTCCAGTGCCTCTCACCTTGGTGATTCCTGGCAAATCAACGAGTGTCAAGCTGAGCACATTGGGGGAGTAAATCTTCAAGTACAAGGGCTCTGGGCTGATTCCCTGCAGGCAAAAATAAAAGCAAAACTCCACAGCTAGAGAAAGACTGTCCAGGAACTGGCGCAGCAGTATTTTCAAAGAATGGAAGAGAAGCTTCAAATGGCAGTACCTTATTAGTCCCAGTTGTCCGCTCTGTCTCAATCTCAATCTCCTGACGAATCTCACTGAAGTTAGTGAAGGTCTAAGAGGGAACAGAAAGCAACTCAAGGACTAACTGGAGGGAGACATCCCAGACTACAATCCAGAGGTAGCTGCAGCATTTTGGGGAAGCTGAAGGGGGTGCAAGAGATGATTCAGCTGCAGTCCTCCTACTCTGTTCCTTTGCTGATTTCTCCCCGCCCTGCCTGCTGTGGGGGCAGAACTGGAATCCTACTTGCTTTAGCAGGGAAAGGAGAACAGAAGGGGAGAAACAAAAAATGAACAAAGTAGAAGCAGCCACAGTTCACCCACAGGCTCAAAGAGAAGTGCAGTGTCTCTCAGTGAGCCAAGGGCAGTGGCCTGCTCTCCAAGCTTGATAAGAGAAAAAAGGAAGGGGGCCAAAGATGCAAGGAAAGGAAAGCATGGATGGCTAACTGAACTTTAGGCCCACGGCTCAAATATCATCTTTCTAGGGTTCCCCAGAAAGCCATGCTTCTTTCCCCTGGCCCCAAGCAGTTTTCCCAACCACTGAGCATATGGTGATTTTCCAGCTGATGTGCAGTTCTCCCCAGTATAAAAGGCTGGAATGCATCTCCTAAGGCTTAGTTACTGGGAGTAGGTGCATTATCCTAAAACATGCTGGCACTCTCAATATTTTGGGCCCACCCTCCACTGGAATGCAGGCCCGCTGAATTTGGACCTCCAACTGAAAGAGGTTCTCCAACCCACAGTAACAAAAAATAATAATAGTGAATGGAATACAGTGGAAAGCCAAATAACTAGCCAAGTGCAACTTAGTTTTCATCCTGCACATATTCATACTCAGAAATGAGATCTGTTAAAAACAATAGGCCCACACCAAAAGGACATATAGTTAGGATGGCCAGTGAAGACCTCTTATGAGATTGTTAACAAAAGAGAGAAATGTACATGGCACAGGATTGCAAACATTGTTAATAACCCAGAATTATAATACCAGAATTTCCATCAGGCACATAAGCATCTGTGCAGTGTGGCTGCACTTGCGTAGGATACCATGATGTTAGGCCCAAAGCTTGAAATGCAGTGGACCAGTGCTCTCCATGGACATGGAGATGCATTTGAAAATCAGAGTCTGCAAAATCCCATTGCCTACAGAGCACTTAGAGGTGCATGCCAAGTGGCATGCACAGGATTTTGGAGAGGAAAGGAGAGGAGAGGAGCAACTTACTGTCTCTATCTATCTATTTAGAAAATTTCTAGGCCGCCCCATTCGCCGAAGCCTAAGTGAAAGAAGAATGACTGTTCCTAGCTTACATAAAGAATTTTTAACTTATTATTAATGTACACACCTCTGGAGAGAAAGTGTAATGCAGAAAGAAAATCCCTTGAAACGCTTTTTCTTTAAATTAGTAGCATTAAAAGCAACAGTTGGAAGGGAGCTCAACGAAATGGGAAGTCTATAAAATGGCCAAGAGAAAAGATTTTTCCATTAGGCAACATTTCATCCAGAAATAGAAGGATCCCCACTAGCCTGAGGTGCCTGCTGGTTTGCCACTCTAGAAACTGCCTGGACTGCATACTGGACTGAGCTGGTTCTGGCTCTGGCTGGCAGTAGGACCTTTTAGCTCAGGCATTCTGTACCTTGTGCTTGCAGTGCAGGAAGGTGGCCCATTCATCTGCCTGGACACCTGCAGACAAAGGAAAGCAAAGCAAACGATATTAGCGACATGCACATGGTAGGCAAGTCATGAGTGGAGCTGGCTGGGGCTGAGAGTCAAACTAGTTGGCCTGGAAGGCCCCTTCTGACTCATTCTGTTTCTATGCACCCCAGAGCCAAGAACATGCAACAGAATGTGTCCTCATGAACCACACAAACATCCTGAAATAAGAGCTAGTGACCCAAATATCACTAGGATTATCACAAGCAAACTCTTCCAAGCCAAATGTAGTCTTAAACATTGGCTGGTCACCCATTCCACTCAGCTCTATCTTCTCTCAGGCACTCGGTGAACTCTGACCTTAAAACTCTCAAACTGGGTGCCTTGCACCCTAACCTCAGATATTTGTGCACTGACTGCAGTTAATCAGTGAGAGTGGCACTCTGCACATGCTCAATTACATGTTTGGTTTCCACCAAAAACAGCCCAGATTCAGCCCAGATATTCAAAACTGGTATACCAGAGTTATGCTATAGCTGACATTATCCCTTAGAGCACCTCTGCCCAGAAGCTTTGCCAACCTAAACACCTCAAGTGTGACCAAATATGCTCAAAACAGCATTAAAGCTACTACAGAGTCCTTCTTTCTGCAGGCCTTCAAGAAGCCCTGACGTTGTCATTATCACAGACACCATTCCCAGATGTGAACCCCGAAAGGAGGGCTGCTGTGAACTGGAGCAGCATGGCTTTGAGCCCACCCACCCACCCAGCCTTTTACTAAAACCTCTAATTTTCAACAATTCCCCCAGCTTTGGGCCTTATTTAGCAAAGGTTTTCAAGAAACAACTCCAGTTGTTATTCAGATTTGAGGGATGGGGGAAAAATAATAGCCCCAAGCAGGGGCAAGTTATGGCCAACCAGATATTGCTGAATTGCAGCTCACTGCACCATTGGCTATACTGGCTGTACCTGACAGGACCTGCAGTCCAGCAACACCTGGAGGACCACAAGCCGCTCTCCCTCACCTTCAGCAACATGCGGGTTCCATATGCTGATTCAAGAAGCCCCCCTCCCCACCCTGCCTGAAATCACAGCTCAGGCCCAAGTGTCACAGTCCCCGAGGCTTCCTTTGTCATGCTGGGAAAGGAAGACAATTCCCAGCATCGCCTTTACCGCTTTCTCTGCTGGCAGTCCGCTTCCTCTCCTCCAGGGTTGCAACATGCACGAGCTGCAGGATAAGGGGCCGTCGCGTGACAATGCCAGAGCCACGGGGCAGGAAGTCCCGGCCTACGATGCTCTCCAGCACTGAGCTCTTCCCACTACTCTGTGGAGACAGGCAGTGTTAGAGGGAGAAAAACGTGGCAGAGGGCTAGGATGTGACATCCTAAGGAGAGTCAGTTCCTTCTAGAGTTTTCTTCCTTCTGCGCATGTAAAGAAGAACCTATTCTTGCTTTCTTGCCAGCGGCCACACATACATGCAGGACTCAAATGCTCTTAATACCTTATATGACTCAGGCAGGCAGTGATGGATTTCCAGCTCATTTTCCCTCGAGCCCCAGAACTTCTGCTTTTATATATGTATCTATATTATTTATATTTGTATACTGCTTAATAAAATCTCTACAGCTTACATATAAAATGTTTCAAATTACTCTTTAAAAGATTAATAATTGCAATAATGGAAATGACAATTACTAAAAAAATTCAAAGAGCAATAAAATGGAGCAGCAGCATGAAGCTCAGTTACAAGCCAGACAAAGCTTGCATAAGCAATTAGCTCTTCAAGAGGCATTTAAAACACACCACATTTTCTTCCGCATGTACTACACGGTGAGGGGTAGATTAGAAGAGAGGACATCATTTTAGTGGCGGTTTGATCTGCAGACATTATAAGCAGATAATGAAAATTTATTGACATGTCTTGAACAGCTTCACCTGCTAATTTTAACAGCAACTTGTACTGCAGAAGGCACAGCACCAGCCCAGTTTTTCTATTCTGGGAAGCTTCCTTTTTTTCCTTTTTCTTCTTTTTTTGCAGTAAGCACTAGCTTTGTTTTTAAATTAAATTTTATTATTTAATTTTATTGTTTACTACACAACAATACAAATATAAAATACATCATTAAAAAGAAAAAAACAACACAAGGTACCAAAAAACCCTATATGGAAAAACAACTAGTGCACCTCTCCACTAGGACCATGACAATATAATATTTATTCCTTCATTTCTTTCTTCTTCTTTACTTCAAACTTTCTGCTCTTTCACGAATATCCCCTTCCATCCAATATTGCATTGAATCAACCAAAGGTTTAATACCCTTCCCTTTTATTAAAACATGTTGAATAAACTCCATATATCATTAAAATCATTCTTATCTATCTTTTTTCACCCTAATCCCACTTATCATTAACAGCTATATTCCTAATTTCTTTATACTGTTCAATTAACTGAAGATCTCATTTCTTCTTCTAATTCTTTGCTTTGATGTTACCAAATTTGTTATTAATTCTTTAATGTTCCATTTTGATTTCATAAAATATTAATAGTAATGCTATTTTGGGATCTGCTTCAATTTTTAGCAATATCTCACTAATCTCTTTAAAAAGCATTATCCAAAATGTCTTAACAGTTTCACAATCCTACCAAATATAGAAATAGGTACCTATGTTTTGCCCACATCTCCAACATAAATTAGAATATTTATTATCCATATAGAATAATTTTACCAGTGTCAGGTACCATTTCCATACTAATTTATAATATTTTCCTTAATTCTAATTAACATACTTTTTAATATTCTCTTGTCCCATATTTTTCCCCATTCTTCCTTGTCTATAACCTTCCCTAAATCCATTTCTCTTGAGATTTTATGAAGATGGTATATATCTTCCTTGTCTAATATTCTGGGGTGCTTCCAACTCTGAGGCATTGAGAAAACTCTGAGAAATGTTAGGGGAAGGGAGTGTGTAAGGGGATATCTCAAAAGAATTCTTAGCATTTTCACTAGACTAAAATTCCAGGGATTCTTTATAGTAAATTATGACAAAGTCACTATTATCTCAAGTGTAGGTGCCTCAAAATAGCTTTTTACAGCAAGACTGCTCAGAAATAATAGCACAGAAACTAAAATGGACACAGCAAGCTGCATTCACTACATCCCTTCTAAGGGGTTCTTTCATGGTGCTGCAGAAAAGGTAGAGTCGTTTTTCTCAGTCTGTCCTTCCCTTTGTCCAGTACAGGCAGGGATAGCAGATTTAGCAAGCCTTAACAAAGCATGCAAGTGATCAGTTCTTGGTTCTTAATGTTCTACTGCTGGAGGTCGAGGAACAGAAGGATTGCCACATAGATTTTCCACACATCTCCAAAATATCTTAGCACATAGTCCTGCACATAGAGCTTCAGGTTATTTAACTCTGGAACCAGTCCAGGACCCCCTTTTCAAGGAAGACTTACACACCGAACAAATGAGTAAAACATGAAAGGCTACCATTAGTTAGTGGCTGGCAGGTCTGTTTCATTCCTAGGGAATTGCTTGCCTTGCACCACTTTTCCAAGCCATATCTGGGACCTGGGGATGTGCATGCAAGAAACACCAGCTTGCCCTACCCCAGTTGGTGTGGTGCCTGCAGACACGGTGCCATTCAAGGGCAGGGGATTGTGTGTGGAACGAGTATGTTCAGCTGGGCCACCTCCTTCATCAAGCAGAATGCACTCTCTTCTGCCACTACCCACAACCACAATAGCAGGGTGACTGCAGCTGCAGATTTAGTCTCTGGGAGGATGCCTAGCTGAATGTACACTCTACTCCCATTCCATCTTCCCACCCTGCACTCCTGTTCACAAAGCAATCCCATTCTGCCAGCATTAGCAGGGGGCATGAGGTGGGAAAGCAAATGACAGTTGCAAAAAGTGCCAATTGGCATTTTCTGCATCTATCATCTCTGCCCTGCTCCCCTCCCCTCAATGCTGCTGCAGAGTCCCCTAGGATACCAGGATGGCTGAGTGGGGAAGATGGAGGAGAGGAGATACCTTACCCCACTGTGCCCAATTATCTGTCAGGCACAGGGGAACCCCTTGCAAATTTTAACCATGATGTGTGGCTAAAATTCATAAGAGGTTTACGGTGCTGTGTGAAAATGCCCATTCTGTTTTACTGTATTTATAGTATTTACTTATCTATTTATTTGCAATTACTTATACATTTAAGTGGATTCCAGGGGATGGTGGAGGACAGAAAGGCCTGGAGGAATGTTGTCGATGGGGTCACGATGGGTCGGACACGACTTCGGGACTAACAACAACAAATACATTTACATCTAAAAGTTTCATCATGATATACACAAGTCACAGAAGCATAAAACTACGAATATGAAGAATGCATTATATCCACATAAGATGGAAGACGGCACTACACAGTGAAGGTGTGCATAAAGAAATGATTCTACAAGCAAGTGCCTAAATATTAAAAAATTTTATGCACGTCCAACATGAGAGGGAAGCTTACTCCCACAGTGGGCACGATTTCACTAAATGCCCTGTTCCAGACAAATGCAGACCTCAGGAGTATGCAGCACCAATAGAAATGATACATTTCTGAATAAAAGAGGACTGCACAACATCAACAGCAGCTAGGGAATGGAACGAACCAGATAGAGAATCTCACCTGGGAACCAACTACTACAATTTGAGGTAGCTGAATGACCTCGGCCCCCACGGTGTTGAAGATTTCTTGCAGCTTATTGATGACAGGGATGAGGGTCTCCATGGTGTCGAAATCTTGGAAGGGGAAGTGTTTTCCCTAAGAGGTTAAAGGGAGCGGATATTCTCATGAAGATGAAAAGCCTGAGGGACACCCTGTTCCCGCCCCCAAATGGACTACCCCAACCTCCCCTTCTCCACAACCAGGACCTCTGGCTCTCCTCTAGCACGCCTTTTCTTTCGACCCTCAAAGGGCGGGTTCACTCACCTCACGACTATTTACTCTGAACCCGGCTACACCCCATTCAGTCCTCAAGCAGGAAATACTGCCCTCACTCCACCTGCCCCGACCTTCGCCTGTGCCGGTCATTCTTTATTTCTATAGGCTGTTTGCGTGCTCATCAAGGGAAAGCTCAGCTCCATTGGGGAAGAATTACAGCTGGGGCGGATGTACAGCTTCATTGGCCGCCGCGAACACCAATCAAGCGACAGCGAACTCCGAATTGAAGGTTTTTCAAACGTCCGACCATAGAGGAAAGATGAGCTGAGATAGAAGGGTCTTAGCAACCGAAAGCATAGCAACAAGCTTAGACCTTTATATAGGTGGCTATTCACCTCTCTCCATCGTGCACAGCCATCTAACATAACGGAGGACAAGGTGACATCTTCTAGGGGTCCCTAATTTGTTAGTGGTCCCTTGTAGGTTAATATACATCGAAATTTGGGCTTAATCCCTTTCTTCATTGAGTTGGTAAACCAAATATACAAAGGAAGGGTAACACCTAGTTAAACAGGGCTGGGGAACAAGTGAACTTTCTGATGTTATTGGACTGCAACTCCCATAATCCCTCACCATTGACTTGTTCTGGCTAGGGTTGATGGGAGTTGTGGTCAATAATATCTGGAGGGACTCATGTTCTCTCCATTGTAATAGAACCTAATTTGATTCTCTGATGTGACATCCCACAGTCTATTTTAATATTGCAATAGGTATCAATAGGTCTAACTTTCATTGTTAAAATCATGCAATCATTGGCACATAGCTAGGCCAGAGAAAAATCTTCTTTCTAGAAATCAGCATGCGTGCATCCTTGAAATGCAGCTGACATTAACCAGGCAGCATTCCAGAGAGGGCCAGTTGATTCTTGACAGATGACAGCAGTGCAAACAAAAGGCAATTCATGCCAACTCCTCCTCCACTCCTTCAGAGCATCTTCTTTCTGCTTCAGTATCCAGGCAGGAAAGATCATGCCATTAACTTTTTACTTCTGTATTTATTTATTTAAAACATTTCTATGCCGCCCCCATCGCAACAAAGCCTCTGGGCAGCTCACAAAAAATACATAAAACATATATTAATAATAATAATAATAATAATAATATAATTTAAAAGAAAAAAATTAAAAACCCCCTGTGCATTCTTGGCTAATTTTAAAATCCTAATTAATTCAATAATTTAGCAATTAAAATAAGTTTTAAATAAAAAGGTCTTAGCCTGGTGCCGAAAAACAAATAACGACGGTGCTAGGCAGACCTCTCTGGGGAGCACATTCCATAGGTGGGGCGCCACCACAGAGAAAGCCCTCCTCCAGGTACTCACCCTCCTAATATCATTCACAGAGGGTTCCCGGAGAAGGGCATCCGTTGCTGATCTCAAGGGGCAGGAGGGCATATATGGGCGCAAGCATTCCTTTAGATATCCAGGTCCCAAGCTGTTTAGGGCTTTTTAGGTCATAACCAACACCTTGAATTGGGCCCGGACTTCAATCGGAAGCCAGTGGAGCTGACAGAGAACTGGGGTTATATGAGAACAACACCCAGTCCCCGTCAGCAACCTGGCAGCTCTATTCTGCACCATTTGAAGTATCCGGACCATCTTCAAGGGTAGCCCCACGTAGAGCGCATTACAGAAATCTAATCAGGAAGTTACCAGCGCATGTGTCACTGTCGCCAGGCAGTCATTTTCCAGGAAGGGACGCAGCTGAAGTATCAGCTGAAGCTGAAGGAAGGCGCTCCTCGCCACTGCCGTCATCTAAGCTTCTAGAGACAGCTCAGGGTCGAGGAGCACTCCTAAGCTGCGAACCCTGTCCCTCAGAGGGATTGCAACCCCATTTAGGACAAGGCCCAAGTCCCCCATCCCGAGGCCCGAGCCACCCACCAACAGGACCTCCATCTTGTCTGGATTGAGCTTCAGTTTATTGGCCCTCATCCAGCCCATTACCTCAGCCAGGCACCGGTTCAGCACAGCCACTGCCTCACCTGGATTGGCGGAAAATGAGAGGTAGAGCTGGGTATCATCAGCATACTGATGATTCCGCAGCCCACACCTCCTGATAACCTCTCCCAGCGGTTTCATGTAGATGTTAAATAGTAAAGGGGACAAACTGGACCTCTGCGGAACTCCATGGCATAACTGCCATGGCGCAGAGCCATAGTCCCCCAGCACCACCTTCTGAAATCGGCCATTGAGATAGGAGCGGAACCACCGCCACGCGGTACCTCCAACTCCCAATCCTGCTAGCCTATTCAGAAGGATACCATGGTCGATGGTATCGAAAGCCGCTGAGAAGTCCAGGAGAACTAACAGGGACGCACTCCCCGTCTCTCTCCCTGCACAGGTCATCGTACAGGGCAACCAAGGCAGATTCAGTGCCATACCCGGGTCTGAAGCCGGACTGAAATGGGTCCAG